TTCTTCATTTTGATACCATATTTCATTATTTTCTATATTTTTTCGCGTTATAACGGTTTTTTTCTTGTCTAATTTTCTTATACTTCTTCTTCTTTTGCCATATTTATCACTACTTTATCACTTTTACTCCATATCTTGCCCCATTTCCTCACATTTTGTCATATCTACCCCACTTCCTTTAAGAAAGTTTGCCGATGGGATTTCCACGCTCTGTTATGTTACGTGTGTGTGCTTGTTGCGTATTCACGTTGAGTCATCGTTCCTCATGAATTTCCGAGATATTGAGAGCGTTCTTTTGATAAGGCGCAAATTTTTCGAATGTTTCGTTGTTAAAATCGCTTAATTTTGACGTTTCGGAGAGTTTAATTCAATGAAAAATTGAAATTTGAAATTTTTTTAAAAATTAATTGTTATGTCTCATAGGGGCTTAAGTTGATGGGGGGATTCTAGCAAAAATTGGAAAAAAAAGTATTTTTAAAATGAACTATTAGGTTATTCAAATAATTCTGTGCCCTTTTCAAAGCAAATTTCAAGAGTTAGAGGGCACAGGATTATTTGAACAACATAATACAAAAAAATTTTTTTAATTATTTTTGAGGGTATGAGTGGAGGTAAGGGTAGTACAGTCTAGGCAGGTGCATGTAAGGGTGGATTTCAGGGTAGTACTGCCTTCGCGCTTATTGTTTGTTTTGCCTATCGTACTCAGTTTTTGTACTTTCAAATTTGTGAAAAAATAATGAAGCAAGCTTTCGGCTACAAAGTGACGAATGGTCTTGTAGCGTGCCATACCGCGAACTTGTTTTGATGTGCACGAGAATTTATGTAGCATTTTTCAATTTTTTGGAGCAAAACATAAGTTAGGTGTTACTGTAATGTTAAAATGACTTTATTTTTTGAAAAAGTCATTTTTATGTCTTTATTTATTAGGCTTTTCAAATAATTCAGTGCCCCTTCTCAAAGCAAATTTTTGAGACTAGGGGGCTCAGAATTATTTGAACAACTTAATATAATTTATTGTCCTTATAATTTATAGTACTCATATATAATTTATAGTCAATATTTACTACGTCTACCTTAACATAAATTAACCTTACTCTTGTCTATGACGTTGTTTTTGGTTATCGATTCATAGTCAAAGGTCATAGATCCTTAAATATCACACTTGTCTATATGAATATGTATTAGTCGTTTGAATTAGATTTGGAATGTTGAATTTTAAATTTTTTTGTGAAATTTTTTGTGCAAAAAAAAGAAATTCGAAATGGATATGATGCTATATTGTCATTGATATTAAGATAATTGTATTTTAGGAATTAATATTGTAGTTGGCGACTACGTGACTTTATGGAAATGAGAGTTCGGAGATCTTTTTAATTTTAAATTTGACTTTTTTTGAATTTTAAAGGGTTTGTAGGGACTTTATTTTAGTTTTGTATTATGAGTATTGAGCTGTGGGACAAAATACAGTAATTTTTTAAGACTTGAACATTTTGGTTTGGTACTGTAGTAAATACAGTATCTTTTTAGTTCAGAGGAGCAAGCATAATAATAAACTTAAAAAGGTCAGTTCATTTCCACGAGGTACTGTACTATTTTGCATTTTTATCAGTTACAGTAGTATCTTTTCTTGGTACTCTTCAGTACTCCAGCCAGAGAAAATGTTTTTTTATATTGTACTAACTACAGTAAACAGCTTATGAACTATCGTTATACTACTAAAACTCATGATGATTTTTAAACAATAATTGCTAGCCAAAGATACGATAACATAATAACTTCAGTTGAACATACACCTGCTGTTGTATGTGGTACTCGCTGATCATTCAGACTATGTAAACACCCCTTCCTCACTTATTCATATACGTTTCTGTGTCAAAAAATAGCCAAACTGATTTTCGATCTATTTGCACAACTTGTCGCATTCCAGTAGACTTCTGAATCCTCAGTCAGAAACGTACTCTTATATAAGGGAGTTTCGAAATTTTAGGCATTTTTAAAAAATTTGAATTTTGATAGGGTTTGAAATTGGTTTGTGGGTGTTACAGTTTAGAGAAGTGATCTTTTGACTTACAAATATATATTTTTGGAATGACTAAAGACTAATATTGTCGTATAAATAAAAATTTTAGAAAACTTTGATTTTAATTGATATATATTACGTGACTTTTTAATTTATTTCGCGTTTCAAAAATTGATAATTTTTAACTTCTTGTATTTCAGCTTGGACTAAAGTTGCAGTAGCCAAACTCGGCACAGTTAAACAACAGCTTATTTTCACAAGGGAGGTGCCTGACATGCCTTTATCTGACTGACTTCAAACTTTGATCTGATTGACTTCAAATTTTTATATTGAAGGATCATGTAACTATAAGATCTTCAGCAAAGTACTAAATTGCTCTTCCCTTGGTGTAGTTAGTACAGTACTCGTACATCGCGCTAGTCAATCTCAAGGAAATCGAGATTAAAAACTTACCTTTGGATTTTCCAGCAAAATTGGCATTGTGCTTCAAGCTTATAAATTTGGCATTTTTTGACATTTAATTATTTTTCTTTGTCATACCAGTAGAGAACTTATAGGTGAGTCTACATTTTTAAATTCGTAAGCATAGTTTGGCTAGAAAGTTGAAAAATATGCTTGAAACAGAACGCCAAATTTGCCAATTTGGCAGAAAACTCAAATATTTTTATTTGAAGAAAATAGAAAAGCGCGAGTTAAAATGTTTTATGAGTACTTTCATATTACTGGTGGTACAAAGAATTCATGTAAAAATTATGAGCTGATTCTGAGTGGGGCGAGCTGGGTACTTTATTTGTTAGTGTGTTCCTAAAAAAACTGTCACTTTTAGATGCATTTTTAGGTTAATATGCAAGTTTATACACAGTGCACTTTGAATACAAAAATAAAATTTTTATTTTTTACAGTAACTTTTAATTACAAAATTATTTTTAAATTTGTATTTTCTACACTGCCCTTCACTTTCCTCACATACAATTTTTTTTTCAATTTCAAGCTTTACGCTCATAAAAGACTTTTGTCCACCGCTGCTGATAAACCCTCAAACAAAAATAAAAATTGAGGCCTAAAGATGTAAAAGTAGTGTTATCAAGCAAAAAACAAGATTAGCTAAAACCCTGAGGGGAGAAATTGAAAAGTGATATGCGTCATTTCCGTTCGATTTCCTCTTTATGTTACGCTGTCGTTCTCGTCGATCGACACGGTCTTTTTTTCATGAACACATCAATTTTTAGATTGCTAGTTTTTTTTTAAATCATTAAATATAAATTGCTGCTGGGGTTGTTTTGAAATGAGTTTTTGGTAAAATACGATCATATAAAAATAACTATTATATTTGGTTTAAGGGGTATAGTAGAGTAGAAGAGGGTTTTGCAAGGTATAACGAGGTAAGGTTGGGCAGATTAAGGAGGGTCGAGTACGATACGATACGATACGGCAAGGTACGGTAGGGTGCAGTAGGGCTAGGGTAGAATATGATAGGGTAAAGTAGGGTTCAAGTAGAGCTAGGATAGGGGCTAGGACAAGAAAAAGTTTAAGGCAGCGTCAGTAAGAGGGTGGTTTAATCATGTGTCTTTAAATAGACAATGTTACCTAAACCACCCCTAAAACCTGACCACAACAGACCACCGTTTCATCGCTTATTCATTTGTATAACGTTATGAATACCACTGTTTATACGCTATAAAAAACCATTTTTTTCGAAAAAAGTCGAATTGCTTTTTAATTTTGTGCACCCTGAGGGCTTTTTATGAAAGGCTGAGTAAGCAAAAACGAATGATGTTTTTTATAAATTCATTTCTAGTCCAGATCAAGTTTAAACGAGCTGTTTTTGGGGTGTATTTGCTTATTGTTGGGGGTGGATTTGATTATTTTTTTTGGGGGGGGGGGGGTAAATTTTTTTATGTTTGGAGTGGTTTGTCTTCTGTTTTGGGGCAAGTGTAACTTTTTTTATGTTTTAAGGTGGATTGTCTTATGTTTTTGAGGATGGTATTATGTTATCGGGTAAATATGAAAAGCAAAAGTCAATTTTATTAGGCTGTTCAAATAATTCTGAGCCTTTTAATACTGAAAATTTACAGTGAGGACGGCTCAGAATTATTTGAACAGCCTAATATTTTGAGAAATGTATTGTATTGCCATTGTTTTTTTGACCAAAACCTAAAAATTATTGTATTTACAAAACCTTTCCCTCATGACATGACAATATAATAATGTTGTCGAGCGATTTCCGGTCGCGCGCGACGTAGTAATATATAATGTCGTTATTAATGAACGTTCTTCTTCATCGCAAAGCCGTTTGGAGAGACAAGCAAACTCCTTCAAGGTTTATCACTTCCGTTCGTTTTTAATATAAAAATGTATATTTAACGCCACGTTGTTACAGTACCACTGGGAGTAGAGAGGGGGTTATGGTGTTTGATTTTTGGTGTGGGAAGGGGAGTAAATTAGAAAGGAGAGCGGGCATGTGGAGGAGACAGGGGCGGAGTAGGGAGTAGGGGGAAGATAGAAGAAGGAAGGGGAGGGTAGGTGTAAAATACGAAGGGTGTAATATAGCTTAATATAATTTAGCTTACATTATCATTTTTTCTACTTTATCTTGGTAGTAGTATATCATACTCTATTAGTTTTTTTACGGTAAATTTTTGATACGCAGTAATAAGATAATTAATAAATATTATAATACATAACTTAAGATACTTGTTTTTACTGTCATACAATATCTTTACTACTACTTTTTTAATTTTTAAACTATGTCATCTTTACTAAAATACCGTATACCCCATACAGTAGAACAACATATTAGGTTGTCCGGAAAGTTCTGCAATATTTGAGTAGGTAAACTTTGAAAAATCAGGAAAAATTTATTTCTTGACGGAAAGAAAAAATTCTTTTTTTGTTTGTTTGTTTGTTACCTTAATTATTCAAAAAGGTAAGTTACATAACTTAATTTCATTTTTTTGTATTGTTTTAGGTATTAGAAAAAATGGAGAAATCTCGCCTGCGCGTGATTATATGGAATGAATTCAAACGCGGAAATACTGCGGCAGAAAGCTTCAAAATCATAAACGAAAATGAGGGTAAGAATGTTGTGAGTTATTCTACGGTGACCAGATGGTTCGCAAAGTTTCGTGTGGACGATAAGAAGCTTGAAGACAAACCACGTGCAGGAAGACCCAGCAAACTTGACAAAGATGCCCTGAGGCGCAAGATTGAAGATGACCCACATATTACAATCCGGGAGTTAGAAGAGTTACTAAACTGTGGAAAAAGTACCATTGGTGATCATTTGAAGGCAATGGGTATGGTCAAAAAGTTGGACAAATGGGTGCCTCACAATTTGACTGATCTGCAAAAAGCCAAGAGACGATGTGCTTCCGAAAAGCTTCTGCAACGCTGCAAAAACGAAGAATTCTTGGATCGAATTGTAACTATTGACGAGAAGTGGATCTCGTTTAACAATACTAGAAGATCTACAAGTTGGTGTAAGCGTGGAGAAGCTCCTAAGCACGTTCCGAAGCCAGAATTGCACGAAAAGAAGCTTATGGTGACTGTCTGGTGGTGTAGCTCTGGAGTGATCCAGTACGATTTCATGAAACCAGGCCAAAGTATTACGGCCGACACCTACTGTGCCCAGATTGACAAACTGCGACACAATCTTCCAACAATGGTCAGAAGGAGGGGTCCGATCATTCTGCAGGATAACGCACGGCCCCATGCTGCAAAGAAGACCGTGGCAAAATTCAGGGAACTGAGATACGAAGTCTTGGAGCACCTCCTTATTCTCCAGACTTGGCTCCAACGGACTTTCACCTTTTTAAACACTTGTCTTCGTTTCTTAATGGAAGAATCTTCAAAACTCCAGACGATGCCAAGAATGCCTTCAAGAACTTCATCAACTCCAGAAACCCGGAATTCTACAATCGTGGAATAAAAAAGCTTGTAAATCGCTGGCAAGACTGTATTGATTCAGACGGTAATCACTTTGATTGATTGTAGTTGTTAATTATATTGTTATTATTGTTAGTTCAAAAGTGAATAAATATTGCAGAACTTTCCGGACAACCTAATACTACAGCCAATTCTCTTTAGCATGACACTCAAAGAACTGGTCCATATTTGTCTTTATAACCAGGATTTTACACTATCTAAGTACTCTTTGATATCAGTTATATTGCAAAAGACTGTCAGAAAGAAGTGTCAGACTATCAAGGATCGTTCTGAAGAAGTTTCACTGTATTACTACTATTTTTATGCCATTTTTACAACTAAAAATCACTTTTGTCATATCTAGTGTGTTAATTAGTAACTATACAACCCACTTCCGGGCATTTTGACCGTTTTGTAGTGGAGGTCTTTAATGGGAAGGCTCTATTTAATTTGTTTGTTGTAATTTTTTCTCAATGGTTTGGCGGTTTTTCGACAAAATTAACAAACATCACCCTCTTGTTTTATAAAAAAACATTTTTATTACTTTTATCATTAACTTTTATCATTCTAACACTTTTTACAAGTTTTTACAAGGTTTGCGAGGGTTTTTAGATTTTGCAACAGAATGCCAAAAATCAGGGTGTTTTTGCAAAACGTTATTTTAAAAATGAAAATATTTTTTTAAACCTTTTTTTTACTTTTTATAGTGTTAATTTATCTTTTTTTTCTATTTCTTCTTTCTTTTTTGTTGGTTTTTGCGCTTGCAACAGAATGCCAAACATCAGTGTCATTTTGCAAAAATGTTGTTTTTCTAAATTTTAGATGAAATAGTGGGAGGTGGATCTATTTTTAACTATTTTTGCTTAAAACGAATACAATTTAACTTGTCAATAGTTATTTTTAACTTCTTAATTGCAACACAATGCCAAAAATCATGGTCGTTTTGCAAAATATTTTTTTTTAAATTTTTTATTTTATTTTGATCACATTAGCTCAAAAAACACCTACTATTTATTGCCATCTTGTCTTATTAACTCGTGTTTCATGCCTTTGTCAAAACGACGTTTTGATTTTTCGGTTTGCCTCAGGCGTTCGGGCGGAAATTGAGAAATATCGATTAAAAAGCCGGCTGGCGAGAAGCGAGAAGCTGACGTTCGTTGTCAATTCGACCCGTCTTATCAGTCTTAACCTTTTCTTTCTTTTTTTCATGTCTTAATTATTCGATTTTTATAACTGAAATCGTGAAAACAGCCTCGGGGCTTTTGGGGTTTTATCGGTTTTTTGGCGGTGATTGGCATGGGTTTTGGGCATGGTTGTAAAGAGGGAGGTGGGTGGGATAAAGCGGTGTGATATTTTAAATTTTTTGCATTTTTAGAAGGCGTGGGTAAAGTGGCAAAGGGCGGGGTAAAAATTAAAGTTTGGAGATTGGAGGCAGGGTAGGGGAAGAAATTTTTAAGAAATAAACAGAGATGCATTAGAATTTAAAAAAATTATGGTTTTTTCTTTTTCTCCCCTTCCATTGTCTCACCTTCAAAATTTTTTTTTCTAAAAAAAACTTTGAAATTTCAAAATTTCAAACTTTTCTTTTTATAAATTTGCTGATTATGCCATTTCCTTTTGTATACAAACAACACTTCTCTCCCCAGTTACAACTCTTGTTACTCTTTCAATTCTTTAAACTTTTAATTCAACTTAATTCGATCAGCCGCCCAATTTTTGTCACTCGAACAATTAATTTTTTAAGTTTTTTGAATTTTTAAAACGTTTTGGAAAACGCTACTTTTTCATGCCTAATTTATTGGCAGGGAGTGGGGGATGGGTGGTGGGGGAAGGGGTTGAGTTAAAGCAACTTTTACTAGGCACACAGTAAAAAACTACTGAGTTTGTCATTAGTTTTTGGTTTGTAGGGGTGTTCAGGTTATTTTTTGTGAGGTCTGGCTGTATTACTATTGCCAGTTTTACATTTTTTCAATTTATTTTTTAATTTTACGCGATTTTATTTTACTAAAACATACATATTTAACACTGGTTTAATTTAAAATTGTTTTTAGGTAGAAGCTGCTTACGTGACATTTTCAAGTTTTGTTGTGTCATAACAGTTGGGTACGTTAGAGCCTTGTTTCGTATCGTAGAAAGTAAATGGTACGTTATGCTTTTCTGTTCATGCTTAAGAAGCTGTAACATATTACTGAAACGTTTTGCGTTATATTTACGTATGACTACTGTACCATTTTCGACTTTACATATATTACTATACGGTCACAGTACAGTACTGTTCTATCATTCTTCACACTAAAAATAGTAAGTACTATGTCAGTATTATCATTCTTTGTTAAAAATACTTTCACAGTACTGTTTTATCATTCTTCTTACTGAACTACTAAAAATAGTGAGTACGATGGCAGTACAATTGAGGTCATTTAAATTTGCATGCACTTTAAGTGGCTTTCAAAAACAAAAAAAACTTTTTAATTTTCTCTCAAAACATTTCAAGCCCTTTAAACTGTTTTTCTTGTTTAATGGCATTTTAAAGGATGCTCTTCTACGTGTTCCAACTTTTGGCTTGAATTTGGGTTTAGGTGGTACTGTAAGGTTTTTTGCTATGTTATTTGGTTCTGTAAGGTGTTTTGTAGTGATATAGTAAAAATGGCTTTGAAGTGCTATATTGTTGTAGGGATACTGTATTTTTTGATAAATTTGCAATAAAAAAATTTTTTTAATCTAAAAATATTTTTATATGTAATTCGAGTTTACTTTTTTAGCTTTAAAATGGCATTTTTATTCATTTTTTAGGTTTCGATCGCTTATTGCGTTTATTGAAATTACAGGGTGCGAAAACTTTCCCGGTCGTTTTCTCTATGTTACGGTTAAAATATTTGATAGTTTTTATTTTAGCTTATTCCTCATGTTTTTTTTATTGTATAATCATAAAAGTTAAGTCTTCATTGTCTATCGTCTGTTTGTATTTAGGTGTTAAACATGAGGTCTACCTATATTTTTTTACTTAAATACCTTTTTTTCAATTTTTTTATTCAATTTTTTTTAAATAAATATTTTTTATCAATTATTACTTAAATCTGCCATTTTTAATATTTATTAACTACATAACTGTAAAAAACGTCTATTTCATTACCTTTTTTGACCACGTTGTTGTGCCGGAAACCGTCTTACAATTCAATATCCGGCGGCGATTAACCTTAACTTAAGCGCGAGTTTTATCAGATTAAGGGGATAATTTATATTGTTGCCTGTTGGGGTACTTTTAATTATTAAATTTTCAAATTTTCCTTCAAATTCAACTTGTGCACTTGGACTGTGCGGATTACGACGCAGCCCAAAAGGTATGGTAACTAATGAAATTAGGAAAATTCAAAGCCACAACGTTTAATGCTATTTTTAAGTGTACATATGTGTTGGTGCTTTTTGTTTTATGTAATATTAAAAATGAACAATAGATAATAGGCTTGCCTTGTCATTCTCTGTTCTACCTGCATCAATGATCTAAACTATAGTTATATATATATATATATATAACTCATATGATTCCATTTTTGTAAGGTTCAAACAGTAGTGTTAAAGTGTAACTTTTGTTGGGATTACCATGGTTAATACCCTCAACACTGTAAACAGACATTATTGTCATAACCGCAATAGAAATAACACGGAAGCCAATGGTGGTTAAGACACGTCGGTATGTGTAACTGCTCCTAATCTTAATCCCTACACCCTCGGTCGATCTATGTAAATAACAACGTCATTCTCCTACTTTACGGTATTTCTTTGTTGTCGTACAGTAATAAGTAGGGCAACAACAAATGTCGTTCATGGTGACGACAATCGATGTTGTGGTATGTTTGTTGTTGTACGGAAGTTTTTGGGGTTACAGTGCGTCATGTTTGGAATGGCAGATATGTTTGTTGGGATTTTGGGGGGAAGGGGGGGGAGAGAAAGCTAGAAGAAGGCAGTGGGGGGTGGGGTAGTTGATGCTGTCGGATAAATATGACTACATTTCTTTTGTTGTAGTCAGTATAGGTTTTTACGGTGTAAAGCGACAAAACGTTTTTTAACACTGTGCAGTGTATTTTCAATTATATTTTTCTATTCCTTCATAATCATTATCTTAAGTACAATATTGTACATATGTTATGTTCCGCAACTTGACCTGTATGATTCGACCCACTGAAACTCTATAACAATATTTTTTATTTTTTAAGGCTAAAAAATATTGTCCCCTTTTGTTGTAAGACCAGGAAATTGCCAAAGGTTCCTATATTTGAAATAATATTGTCAACAGTATGAGTAACCTTGATCCCTCACTTGCTCATTACTTTTTTACATCTAAACTTATCCTCTGAACACATGAACTCTGTCTTTTTTGTACAAACCATCTCTCTAAATGTATATACAACCCCTCCCCTTTCAATTGTAAATCTAAACCTTTGTAAGTGTAACTTCCCCCCCCCCCCCCTTCTTTAGTTGTAACTCCAAACCCCTTCGTCCACAAATCCATGTGGTCAACAACATGACTCACGTTAATCTCTTACTTTTTTTCATGTTATACTGTGGTTAATCCGTTTTTTTCTTTTTCTATGACCCTCTCTCTTTCTTTGGTTTGTGTATCATTTCTCTTTTTCACTCTTTCTTTTGTGTACTATTTTTTCTCTAACTCTCTCTTCAATTTCGCACTATTTTTTGAGTTTTCGGTAGGAAAACGTTATTGGATTTAAAAAAGTAAATATTTCAACTTTAAATTGTTATAAATTGGTCGTTTACTTGTGATTTAGAAGGGAGAAGGAAGAGGGAAAGGAAAGGAGGGGTACATTTAGGGGGGAAGATAGAGTAAAGCGTAGGTGGAAACAAAACTTTAAGTGAAACGCAAGGCTAGAATAACTATTATGGTGGGAAAGCAACAACGTTTCCAAAATTAAAAAAAAATGTTTTATTTATGCTTTTAAATAATCAACAGGGAGGACCAAATAAAATTAAAAAATTTTTTTTTGATTAAAAAGGAAGGGGGGGGGGGGGGAGAAATATTCTAGCCTTCACCACCGTGTCTTTATTAAAATTTACGGCTAAACTTTTCAAATTTTTTTTTATTTTAGGATTTTTTATAATTTTTTTACACTTTTTACTTGTTTTTCCATTTTAAACTAAAAACAAACTCCAAGCCCTACACAATTCACAACACCTCCAGCCAATCAGCACATCGTACTCTTCACAGTGAAAACACTTTTTTCGGCGGATTAAACCCGTCGTAAGGCGAGAGGGCGTGGCTAGTTCCATCTGGAATCCACCCTATTGTGTACGTGAACTTCCGAAAATGACTCGTACTATTTAGTTCGTAGAGGTATCATGATATATAAAGGGGATCAATCTTGTTTCTATTGTATTTTAACTGTATTGTATATATATTATAATGATTTTGACTATATTAAGTATTAGGTTGCGTATAATACTGAGCTCTTTAACACTGAAAATTGGCTTTCAGAGGGAGCACAGAATTATTTGAACAATCTAATATACAATATTAGATTGTTCAAATAATATCTTACTAAGGTTACCTTGAGATATTTTTTCATTTTTTTTCTTTTGGTACTGTACTATAAAAGTACTAATAAAATTTAAGTTTAAGATGATAAAATACCTACTATAATATATGATTTGACGTTACAAATTGTATTTTACTTTACCGCGCTAAATTTAAAAAAAAGTTTTTGAAAATTCAATTTTAATTTTTAAAATTTTCAGTTTGTCTTTCATTATTTAACGCCCGTCCTTTACCTAAATCAACATCATCTGCCTACTCTAACTTTTACAACACCTACAGTACTTTTACTTCAACGACGATCATTTTCATTATAGTATTGCAAATTACATTTTAGTACTATAACACCAACTTTCGAAGAGTTCTAATACTATAAGAAGACTCTAATACAAACGATACTAAGTCATCTTGATTATACTCTTTAGTACGGTAACTTACAACTTTACTAATACTGTATCTACTACGCCACCACAAGACCTAGTACTGTAACCCAACTCTTAAAAGCAACTTAATACTGCAGCGCATTACCATCAACTAGTCAATGTACCAGTAGCCCTAACCACCTCCATCTCTACATCCTCAACGTTCTCACATTCGCCTCCAAATGGTTGTGAACGTTGAGCACGACAGTTGTGACACGCTATCATTCGCCAAAGACTCGCTGCATCTCCAGAATCTCGCCATGAATCAGCAACAGAACTCGCGGTCCGAATCCTCACCCTCCTCAAGTCATTCTAACGAGATGAGTGGCGACGCTGAAGGGGTTTGGTCGGCCGATATCGACCAAGCCTTCCACGAAGCGCTTCAGATATACCCACCGTGTGGGCGGAGGAAGATCATATTGAGTGAGGAGGGGAAGATGTATGGTAGGAATGAGTTGATTGCACGGTACATTAAGATACGATGTGGGAAGACTAGGACAAGGAAGCAGGTATCGAGTCATATACAAGTGCTGGCTAGGAAGAAGCATCGGGAACTGCAGAGCAAGGTTAAGGTATGTTTTTAGAGTTAAAATAGGTTATTATGTTTTAAAATGTAATAAAAAATGAAAAGACGAAATGTCAATTTCCAATTATTGATTTTGACACCGTCTTTTTTGTATATTATCGCGCCTAACACTGTAAAACTACCTTTAAAGTTGCTTTTTAGAGTTGAAGCATAAGGTAATATAAAAACAAATTCAATTTTAAAATTTTTTATGTTTTTTTGTTATGTATATCTTAGTTATATACATTAACTATAAACTTTTATCCATGTAGCTACCTAAAAATACCCTTTTCTATAAATCCCGTTAAAGTACACTTCAAAGTAGTGTAAAACCAAACGAGTAAAGTATTAAAGATTAGGAATGTGAAGTCATTCCAATCTCGTCATGTTGGCTTAAGCGTACTAAGAATAATCGCTACAGTAATGTTTGACGGGATATCTTACGCTGAAGAAGCCGGAAAAGGAAACTTCATTGGGAAAAACCGAGCTAATCTCACCTTTTTTAAACTGTTTTAAATTCTTGAAATTTTGAAATTTCAATGGGATCATACGGTTTATTATTGGCGAGGTTTTGAAGTTATAGTAGTGGTCCAAGGGTGTCATGATAAAAATAACTTACACTGCTTTAAAAATTAAAACTAAAATTTTGTATTATATAATAAATAGTACTGTAATGAGCGGTACTGTAACAATTTTTTGCTTTAAAGTACAATATAGGCTTAAAAAATTAAAAGCAATATTTCAAAACCATCCTTTATATACCTAAAATCCAAATCATTTCAGACCCAAGAAATCAAGACCGAAGAGCCCGCCAATCCACCTCCATCCGAATTCACCCCGCCGTCTCTCCTCAACTCCTTCAGCTCGTCCTCAATAACATCGCCATCAATATCAATGTCGCAACAGAATTTGTTGCAAAAGTCAATGGTCGACCAGGCCAAAGTCGCAGCTTTGGCTGAAGCTGCAGTCGCGGCCGTTGCCGCCTCGGCCGCTAGCCAACCTCCGCTGCCAATTTCTACAAATACATCGCCCGAGGCTGGTGCGCTGGCCGCATCTTCCGCACTGCCGTGGCCATACATGGTGCCGGGCATGTTCAACAACAATTTTTATGGAAATGTCGCTATGTAGGTTTGGGTTGGAATTGGAAGAGGTTGATTTTCTAAGGGTTGACAAGATAGTAAATAAAAAAGGATAAACACTTTTGATTTATAGTCTAAAATGACGTTTTTTTGGCTTTCAAATATCTCAAAAATGCCTCTTTAAGGCCTTATAAGAATGGTTAAAAAATTTAATTTCAACCTCTAAACATCTTACCCATGCCATTTCAGGAACAACGATGAAAACATATACACTCAATTCGCGGCAGCAGCCCTATCAGCCCAACAACAGATTAATACCGCCTTCGGAGGGCAAAGCAATGGCAATGCCAACAGTGCCGCCTCTCTAATCGGAGCCATGCCAGCTCTGAACAAACTCCTGCCCCAACTGCCATTGAACGGAGGACCAAGTGCTCTACTAGGCAACTCTCCACCAATTCCCTCATTCTCTGCCGACACCCTACCCACCTTATCCATCGCTTCTTCCAAACTCAGTTTAGCCGGATTCACGGCCTACGTGGACAGCACAGTGAATTCACAGCGGCAACGGGTGGAGATGGTCAAGATACCAAAGTTTGCTGATGAACCTCAAGATCGGATTTCATTCGCGACAATTGGGACTAAATATCCACCAAAGCTGCAAGAGTTGTATAACCAAGGTCCGAAGGATGCGTTCTATCACGTTAAAGTGTGGGCGAATATTGACTTTGAGACAAACGAAGATGACAATCCTTTGTATGCTGTGGATGAGAACTATGAAAGTCAGTATCAGTTCCCTATCAATGTGTCGACTGAGTTGTGCTCTTTTGGAAAACAGCAAGTTGAGAAACGAGAGGTAAGCAGTAGTTTTTATAATTAGACGTATTTATTAGTTCGTACTGGCTTCTAATGTCATTTTTGGTACTAAATTTAAAGGTTTTACTGGTACTAATACTAAAATGAAATTTTGCTATTAAAATTTTTAAAAATTTGTAAATATAGTACTAGTACTATCTATTGAAGACTTTTTAGTATAAAAATAGCATTTTTTAAACCGAGTACTAGTACTAGCATTAGTAAAAAAAATTTTAAAAACTTAGATGTAGTACTATAAATAAGATTTAGTAAACAGTACTAGTACTATTCTTTTAGTCTTTTTAGTGCAAAACTTAAAAAACAAAAAATATTTGTGTACTGGTACTGTATTTTTTAAACTGTTTGCGTGCGAAAATTTTTAAAAATTTTCAAATTGAGTACTGGTACTAGCTGACTTTTAGTACAAGATCATTAAAGTTGTTATATGTGCTTCTACTAGCTGCCTAATTTATAATTGGTACGAACAACAAACAATTTTTTTAAATTATAGTATTTTAGCACGAAACTCCAAAAAATATTTTTAATGCTCAGTACTATTACTTACTATTTCTCAAAGCATTTTAGTACAAAATTTCAAAAAATAATTTTAAAATTCACGAAAAAACAACAAATCTCATTTGTCCACGTATCGCTGTACCTTTTGCATTGTACAACTGCTCACGCTATTTACTATTAATAAAGTAATCTGGTTGAGCCGAGTAATTTCGAACCGATAGCGTGATGTTATCCAGGTTGATACCGTACTTTATGCCATAGAAATATTGAATGACATTTCTGTGGTATTCGCGGAGTCACGTGACACGAGGCTTTGTGGAGTAACATTATAGTTTTGAGTTCAATGTTGGTTTGTGGGAAAAAACGTATTTTATGATTTGTAGAGGTAGTGTCTGTAGTATTATATGATCTGTACAATAGTCTCTGTGGTATGTTATGATCTACGTATACAGTACGGTCTGTCGTATTGTATGATCTGTAGGGGTAGTGTCTGTAGTATTATATGATCTGTAAGAGTAGTGTTTGTAGTATGTTATGATCTATACAGTCACTACGGTTCTGTGTAGTACAAAAAAACTAGTAGGTCATCGCCTCACATGCGACATCAAACGTAGCCAGACTTTTGTGGCTATGACATGATTGTATCGTAATAACCGTAGGAGATACAAAATCTTTTTGAAGTCAAAATTGTATCTTCAAAGTAACGCACGATTTTCTATTGCAGTAAACATGTACATGTACGTATATCTTACTAACATGTACATATAGTAGATCTTACAGTATAATAAGATACACGTGTCTTTTGGCTATGATAATGTTATATTTTTAATTGTTCAATTAATTCTGCGCTTCTTGGCCACAAAAATTTGCAATGAAAAGGAGCTCAATTATTATTTGAACAACTTTATATTTCTATTGTATTTAGCTATGACTAGATTTTCTAAGTGACCTTAAGCTATACTAAAGGCTGAGCCGGACAAGCAGGTTACACTTCTTATTATCTTCTTCGTTCCTCTCCTTCTCCACTCTCATCACCGTCTTCCCATTCCTATTGCTCCGCTTCCCCACCGCCCAACAAAGCTAGTTTTTAGTTACAATGTTACAGTAAGAACAATAGAAAAAGCAGACGTTTTTTTTCCAAAAAACTATATTTAAAGTCCGTACAACTCATTTGTTTGAACAGATTTTGAACTGTTATAATTCAATTTTTGGCCGTTTTAGTAATATTAAAGAGCAGAGATTATTAACAAACAAAAAATAATTTTAAAAAGTCACGTTTTGGTTTTACTTGTTATATTGACATACTCCAACCTATTTATAAAAACATAAAAAACTGTAAATTCAAGCAATTAAAAGCTCATTCACTAAAAAACTCTTCTTTCAGGACGCCACCAACAACTCAGACGAAGGTCCAATCTTCAAGTACCAACTGGAAGGCTCGCCCATGTGTGAATACATGGTAACGTTCATTACCGAGCTGAAGAAACTTCAAAGCCATGACCTCATGAACTCAGTCCTCGACAACTTCACGGTCATGCAAACTGTCACGGATCAGATGAGCGGCCAGACCTTGTTAGTTATTTGTTTTTCGTTCGAAATCTCACCCGAACCCGAGCCATCTTGTCGCATTTACAAAATTGTTGACTAATGTCATAGCGTTTTTTAAGTTTGTCAGTCTATTAACGCGACATTTGAATTTGATGTACTACAGTAATCACTAAGGTAAATTTTTTGGAGTAAGGTAAAGCTTGAAGGTACAGTAATGTTTTAGGTTATATAATAGTACATGTAAAAGTACAGTACCTCTTAAGGTTATAGTATAAATTGAAAGTACAGTAAAATTTAAAGTTACTGTAGGGCCTTAAGGTACTGTAACTTTTAAGATTACAGTAAGACCTAACATTAGAGCAACTATTAACGCCATATTAAGGTCTAAAGCTACAGTAACTTTAAAAACCTTATTAGTACTTAAAGGTGCAGTAGCGTTTAAAACCATTGTAAGACTTAAAGTACAGTAATGTATGAGACTACTGTAATTTTTAAAGTGTCAGTAAACTCTCCTCTTTATCTTCAGGCTTTTTATCAAACTTAAAAATACAGTAATTTCAAAAGTTTACTCAAATCCGATTACAAAAGCCGTTTTTGACACAGTTTTGTATCTTAGTGTTACTGTAGTACAACCATTATACTACACTACATATAACGTTACATCCCAGCCAATTCCTCAATTATTAAACTCTAAAGCAATTTCAGTCAGCATTTTTTACGTTTCAAAGCTATCTTTTACAGTTTTTATGGTCGATTTTCAAAAAGCAAAAATTTTTTTCACTTTACAGAATATAGGCATGCCATCATTAGTATATATAGACTTGTCATTTTAAAAAGCATTGCTATTTCAAATACAAACCGACCCTAAAAACTGTAAAATAAGCCAAAAACAACTATGATATACAAGTTAAAGTAATCTTTTTTACGTTTTACCTTGTCTTTTACGTTCTATTTTGACCTTGTCATGTACAGTATTACACATCGTTAATAAGTCTTGCATTTTCTATAAATTAATTGATATCAACTTTGTATTTTAGGTTATTTAACTGCTGTTTTCTTACATATTAACTATTGTCAGTTTTGTTTTTTCATTGTAAGGTTATACTGTCTTACTTTTTAATAAAAATACAATATAAATTGATTGGGAATTGATTTTTTGGAGCGACATAAACACATTTTGAAGTCAAAAAACGTTTTAAAAAATTTTTTTCTTTTTTTTAACGCAAGGTATAGAATTTGAGACGCGAAAGAGAAAGTAAAGGTTTAATGAATATCCTCAGAGCACATCATTGTAGCTGTTCACAGTTTAACCTCATCCAGATAATCCTGTTCCTCGCGCTACCGAGTCATGATCAGGTGCTCCTCAAGACTTCAAGCTGTTGTCAAAAGTCAAGTCTATGTAGGCTAAGCAACTGAATTGCCATAGTCTCCGTGGACTTATTAGCACTTCACATTCATTTGTAAACAACAACTGCGTCTGGATCAAACGGTTGTTCAATCCCCTTGCAAAGCCTTGCGATTCGTTATACCAAAAGTTTACTGTATAAGAATATTGAGCGCACTGTAACTCGCTGGGCAAGGACATTTAGGAAATTTTGGCAACAGTTCTTTGGTAGCTTTTTAAGTTCTTTCATCTTATGTAGTTCTTGTGCTAAAAGCCGAAGGTGTTTGGTGAAACTCTTTAAAAAATGAAAAATTTTATTTTTTTTAAATTTAAAAAAGAGAAAATGTACGTATTTTACTCTATTTTACTATTTTTTTATTTTATAATAATATTAATTACAATTGTAATGATGAGATTAGTGTTTTTCCAAGTAGTCTCTGAAGCAGTCGCGGATCTCGTTGAAGGATTCGACGCAGAACAGGTAGTCAAGGTAGTTGGTTGGGACACCATCGTGAGCGGCACAGTATTCCAAACACTTTCCACTCACTCCCTTGGCCTTACAACATTCAGTGTGATCTTTGCGCGACGAGGCACAGTCCCACATGTGTCCGACGGTTTTGCCACGCTCGGTACAGGTGGAGAGGTAGTTCAAGACCTAAAACAATATCAATTTATGAGCTTAATGATAACGTTTCTTCATTGTTAAGTTTTTTAAATTAGAGATCATAGAACTCTTAGTAATCTACATACACAAACTTTAAAAAAAAAAGTTATCATAACGTCAAAAAAAAGTCGTCGTTTTTTCTTATCCAACCCAATGTAACTTGACGACAGGACTTTTCTAACTCTTTAATATCATCACTCTGAGCATAATAAAAATAATTTTTTAAAACGTACATTAGTTTGAGAGATGGCTTCGAAGTCACAGAAACGGTTAACACACTCCTGATCATCATCCTTCAGCTTGGCACAGCACTTCTTCAGCTTTCCGTTGGCATCCAAGGCACAGGTAACGGCAACCAGAGCAGCGATGATAATAATTGAACGCATGGCTACAACCTAAAAGCATTAAACTTTATTTTTGCTTTAAATTTAGTCAAAAACACGAAAAAAATCAAAATTTTTAAACAACGGACTTTTTCACAAAAAAAATTAATTTTTGATTTTGAGACATATTAACTTAATGTCGTTAAAACTTTTTTTTAGCTAAAATACGTCTTCAAAGCTCTAATAATCGATCATAAATTATCAACTAACCTACTAAAAAAACTTTGATCCACCACCGAACTGATCCAGCCAATTTATATGGCGACGTCGCCCTCCCACCGCCGCCTATGAATCCTTCGCGGCGTTTCTTATCAGTCGCGCATCATAACCCAGATTAGTGACCGGATCGGTTTTTTTAGCCGAGTTTCACTCTCATCACAAAAAAAGTAAAGGTAGTTGGTAAAAAGCCGATGGAAAGCGGAGATGATTAACACTGTGACAAACATGTTGTGACAAAGGGTGAAATTGAAAAGTGACATAAATTTAACATCAAAAATGACTTACAAGAGAGGTGTTTGAATGTTGACACTAGGCTGAACTCCGGAAGCTGAGAAGAAACTTGACTCAGCTGGGCTCCGTACCAAACACAACATCTCGGACGACCTTGTCGATACTGGATTAAAGAGTTGATTTGCCAATACGACTACAAGCGTCTTTATCAGTATTATCACATTAAACACCGTTTTTTCTCCTCTATATAATCCAAATAAGTAATCTGCGAGCAATACTCTAACTCAACTAAAAATTTAAATTTTTTTAAAAATTTTTTGTTGTAAAAAGACGGTATTTAGAAGCCATATACAATATTATATTGTTAAGTTTAGTTCTCTCAAAATTTAAAAAGCATATGTTATTTAAAATTAGAGTTTTTCAAAATTTTTTGATAATTTTTATTTTTCACTTTTGCGACGGAACACGATGATATCTGGATGATGAAGCAGATGTCTCTGAAATGACCTAAGCAAAAGCGATTCATCATTCTTTGACCTTTTTTTACTTTTACCACAAAGGATAAGGTTATTAACAAAGTTCGCAAACTCAAAATTTTGGCTTTGACTTCAGCTTTGGCATCAGCTCTGGATTCAGCTCCGGCTTTGTTTTTTTTTATTATAGCTGTGGCTCCGAAAGTTTTTAGCACTGAAATTCGACGTTTTCTAGCTCCAGATTCTGCTCCGGCTCTGCTCTGCCTTTTTAACAATTCTCGCGCCAGCTTTAAAGCCTACGTCTTGCATTTGGAAACTCTTGTTATCAAGGAAGTTTTTTGTACAAATGACTCTACTTACAAGAAACACAAAAAACTGGTTAGGTCTTGTTTGTTATGACAGAATTACATGTGCGATATGTTTGGTAGAACGAGGAACGGCAGTGGAATGAGGAACAGGAAGAAAGATCTTTCATTGCAAAAAATGTTTTTTTGAAAAAATGAGACGTAGAACTACTATAATTTTTTAAAATAGACTTGCTCTATACAGAAAGTTTGATAGAGAAGAGTTTTTATACTAGAATTTTAATTTATCATAGTTTTTTAAAAGAACTACTAGCTAAGCTCCTCCGCTCAACAGTATGACTATATCATAAAGTTTTAGTCCAACGTTTACTGCAGATGCTATATAATCAATATAATTTTTCAAGTTTGTTTATTTTTTAGCATTTTTGTTAAAGTACACTTGTCACTTTGAATTTTTCTAGTTATCAGTAATTTCATCAACCACTTAGTTTTAAGTAGTAAGTGATGACGCACGTAAACTTGATTGAAACACTTATCCAACTTGTTTGTGAGTCAGTAAAAAAGTTGCTTTTTAGATGTAAACATTGTAGTTAAGAAATCTAGGTTTTTTATGTTATTGGTGAAATTCCAGCACCCGTATTTTACAAAAATTAAATTTCACGATACTTAACACATTAAGTTATATATCTTCACCAATAACTGAGGTTATTATTTACTATTCAAATCTTTAGCTAACCCAATATTTTCATTATAATTTTTATCATCGTCCTCATCACTATCATAGCGTATCGCATCTTCACGTTGTTCAGAGTACTCGTAATAAAAGGCAGCGATGACGATGAAGACAACCATTACAAGTACCATACAACCAGCAAAGAAGAAGAAATTGATTGCCATATTAGTTGAGGGCATCATACGAGTCACTATCACTAACATAATGTCACCAATGGCTGTGGTTAAGAGGAAGAAGGAGCCTGTTAAGTAGCAGATAACTAGATATTTGTACTTTTACATAGTTATATAAAGAAAAAGGTAGCTCAGGGCAGAGCAGAGCAAAAGCAGGACAAAGGCAGAGCAGGGCAAGGCAAAGCAAAGCAAAACAAGGCAAGGCAAGGCAAGGCAAGGCAAGGCAAGGCAAGGCAAGGCAAGGCTAGGCAAGGCAAGGCAAGACAAGACAAGACAAGACAAGACAAGACAAGACAAGACAAGACATATATTAACACAAACTTACTGACAACCGACTTCATAGAAGCAGGGCCTCATTGTAAGCGAACTCCCATCCAGTGACAGAAATTAGTACTTCAGCTATAGATATGATAGTAAGTTGAGGTATTTGCCACAACAGTGAAACTCCATTGTTTGGTACAGTTTGATGTAACATTATGTTTGGATTAGTATGTTCTCCAGTCAATGAGACTATGAAAACACCACCTTGTCGATATTGTGTGTACTGGTAGCCTGTATATTTTACTGTGAGGTTTTTAGTAGATGTTTTTGGATTTCCATTGAGGTAGTATAGTCTCCAGCTAAAATTTCTTTTTGTATTTTTAATTTTTTAAACACCTTAGTTAACCCAACCGTATTTTTACATTTTACATTGCAAGGCCCTACCTGCCAGGTTTGATATCTTTGTTTTTAAATACCACTGCCTTTTTGTCATTGCTAGTGGTAGTATGATAGTCATAAACATCTTCGACGTCGTTCTTCTCATCTTCATCATAATATTGAGTAGAATAGTAAAAGTCATTTGGATTATCGTAGTTACAAGAATGTAAATCATCATTAGCACTATCTTCATCAACTCGACATAGTGCTATACCGTCTTGATACATATTTGTATCTGTTGCTACTATTACTCTAGAATAAGGGCTGTTAATATTGTAAGATCAAGTATAACGTATAATTCAAAAAAAATTATCAAATTTTTCCGGCTGGCGATATTTAAGTATAGTATCATCCAAAATAACCATAAATGTACAAAAAAATTGTTTTTTAAATTTAGAATATGGTATACTTACACTAAACACCCACACTTACCCAACAAAATGCCCACCATTACCAGACATAGGCTTATCAGTCCTTGTTTCTGCCATAAAAACCCCGTTTTCGCTGATGTGTAAGTAACCATAGTCAAAAGTAACATTAAAAGTAACTTTTTCAGGTATTGAATTAATGCAATCTTCATTTGGTTTAAAGTAAAATACGTCAAATCCTTGTTTTTGTATAAACATATCTTCATATTTCTCTACACTTGAACCTTCTAGAATCGTAATGGTTTTGTTGTCAGAAGTTACACTGTAGGAGCAGTTGCTTGTGTTGATTACAGTAATGTAGCTATAGCCGGGTGGGGGTTGAGGCGCTAAGGATTTCTAAAGATTTACATTGTTTGGAGAAGTTTAACATATGTAGCATAAAAGTAAAAAAGTGTAGTATAATTTATTTTTTAAGTATAAAAGTACAGTAAAACCTCTTTAGTATGACCCTCAATAGTACTACCCTCTCTTTACAAAAACAGCTTTCTGAACGCTCGAGCGCGCTCTTTATAATAAACGTCCTACCAAAAATTATGGATATTGTGACACCCTAGTTAAAATGGCAGTTTTAGACTAGTCCTTTGAGAGTCATACTAAAGAAGTTTGGCTAATAAGTACTGTTTTTCTTTATAAATACTGTTTTACAGTTTACAAAAACCCACATTGATTTCCAACTGAACAAAGGCAGAGACAATGAACGCAGAAGCGGCTACAAGGCCACCAACACTCATTTTACGTAATGGCCTATAAAATTGGCATGAAAAAAAGTAAAATTCAAAACATATTTGCTATATTAAATACAATTTCCAAAAATTCCAAAGCCAGATCAAACTCCAAAGCTCAGATTCTAAAGCTACCCCCAGAGAAAGAAAATTCCAAATTTTAGTGCAAATGACCTGGCTCCGGCTCCGAAACGGCTCGTAAACTAACATTAAAATGTAAAAAAAATAAAGCCGAAACTAGAGCTGAAACTGGTTTTAAATTTGGAAACGTTAATAGTAAACTCATTTTTTTAATTTCAAAAAGCACAATTCTTGCCAATTTTAAAAATACTTCTTCACTTACGTTACTTTGACTATTTTTGAAACCAATGGATATACGATGAGTGTAAGGATTGGTATAAACGCCAGAACCATCAGTGCATTGACCAACAACATTTGATCCGGTAACAGAAGAACATTGTCCCATAAGCGGCAATCCATTTGAAGGGCCTATAATTTACAGTGTTAGTTTATGCTTTAGGCTGGTTCTTACCTGAATAATAAAAACAGAGCCCTGTTGATCATTTAAAGCCCAGTAAACTGGCAATGGTAAAAAGATGACGACCACTTTTACTAGTGCTTTTACATCTTCAATAAATGTCTTTTTTACACAAACAGTTGGATTTTGAGTTTTGCGTTGAATTTTTAAACAGTCAGCGGTAGTACTGCAATCATGGTTATATAAACTATAGTCAAGCCAATGATCTGCTTTCTTTGAACTTTTAAATTTTCCGGTTATAGAGTTCTGCAAACTTTTAAATTATTTAAAAATTTAAAAAAAGTTAGGTTGTATAACAAGTAGAAAATCAATATTTATGCTTCAAAATTAAAAAACTTACAATAAAAACCCAGAACAAGTTACCAAACACCGTCTTCTTTACCTTTTTCTTTTTGTATACACAACTTCCTGATATAAATATTGCTAAAAACAAAAATTTTAAAAGCAGACATATTGATGCTTGAATTTAAAAAGTAAAAACTTTCAATAAAACACTTTATTATACTATAATATAAGCCCTATAAGCAAGTCAAAGCCTTTAAAAAATATACAATTAAACCTGTTTAGAGTGACCCTCAATAGTATAACATCCACTTTATGATCACGGCTTCTTGCCCGTTTTTTTATAGAACTTCTATCAGAAAGTACCTGAATAGTGTAACATTCTGTTTATAAAGACAGGGTTTGACCAGCCCTTAAGTGTCATGCTAAAGAGGTTTGACTGTATAACAGAAATTTGATAAAAAATTTAAAATTACCAGTCGATATTAACATGAGAACAGCCGGAGTTCCAAACGCTAATGGATAGCAGTTTGGCTGACCCATACATGAAGTAGCTAAAAATATACAAACTTTAATTATCAGTATAAACCATAAATTTCCCTCCACCAACTCTCTCCCCTCCCCCACTCTTCCAACAATGAACCCTCCACCGTTCCAGCTCTAGTCTTTTCCTCCTCCCTTATCCCCACCCCTTTGCCAACTTCTAGCCCCAAGCCAACTCTCCTTCAAAAAGCTCAGCCACCTTCTCGACTTTAACTATAACAATCAGAACAAATTTTAAATTAAGAAAATTGATCACCCCCAAAGTAGCAACTTTTGACCACAACATACTTCTAAAAATCGGTGTAACAAAGATCCCAATCAATGCACCAACATTAATTGTAAAGTAAAATACAGAGAAGAACAATGACAACATCTTGACTTCATGTTTTTCAAACTGATCAGCTCCAAAGGGCGTAGCGCATGGTTTAATGCCACCAGTAGAAATAGCTATAATTAAAAGCCCCACAAGATCTAAAAAAGGGTGTAGCGACCAGTGGGAAGAATTGGCAGAAGACCATGCCAGTAAAGTTAGACCTATGGTGTATAGGATTGATAGTGATAAGATTGTACTGAAAACAACACAAACTTTAATTTTTTTAACCTCAAAATTTTAAAACAAAAAAATGCTGTAAACTTTCTTTACATAGTTTAAATAATTCTGTGCTCCAGTTCAAAGCTAAGTCTTGGAGTTAAAGGGCACAGAATTATTTGAACTACCTAATATTTAATATTTGCCAACGATTAAAAAAGTGCTTTTAGGCCACTTTTTAATTATTTCTTTGTATGATGTTGTGGCAACTTTTTCCTCTTTTGCTACTACATTCTTTGACATCTTTGTTAAAAATATAATCTATAGTAATAACAACATATAAAACAGTTTTTATTTACAAAAAACACTAATTTATGTTGACATTAAGAAGTAGAACACTATCATTTTTGAAGTGCATTGTCTTCAAATTGGTTATCGGAAGTGGAGCTCCTTAAAAGCAAATAATCATGAAGATTATTTGCGACTTGCACGAGTGTATGATAAGTTGCTAATAGCAAGAGAGTATGCTAAGTTTTAACAAAAAGAAGAATAGAGAATTTTCATCGTTAAGTTGAGTTCAAAAGCACAAAAATTCAAAAACACCCTTATCCAGACATATAATAAGAGAGAAACGTTGACCCTACCCAAAACATAGCTTCCAGGCCGGTTTAACAAGCGTCTTAGACCAAACAAATCCTAAATATAATCACAGCATCAACCGAGAAAAAGCCAGATTCCCACCTCTTACCTCTCATAAAGCAAAGCCAACTACAGCCAAACCTCATTAGAAAGACACTCAACTAACCGGACCAAAGTGCCATTATAACCAGGGTTTTACACTATCCAAGCGCATTTTAACAGAAGTTCTATTACAAAGTCAGAAAGCTGTCATGATGAAGAGAGTGTCATATTACGCGAGGGTCATACCAAATATTCAGTAGTTTTACATAAAAAAATTAAAAGTCATCAAGATCATCCCGGCTGAATTTCAAAAATGTTTATTTCTTTACAAATCTACAATTAGATATGATATACAACGGTTATCACTAACTTTACATTTTTACAAAGCCCCGCAGGCTATAAATTAGTTCTATACAAAGTGGGAGTTTTTACAAATTTACATTTTTGACAAAATATCAATTAGGTGGTGAGTAAAACGGTCGAAACTTTTTCTTAATGAATAATAGACTGATCTGGATGTAAATGACTGACTCTTCAATTTTCAAAATTTTAAAAAATCAATTTTTTTAGAATAATCATTTTAAAACCAAAAAGTGTCATTTACAACCACCACATTACACTTTAAACTTCTGGTTTCTGAGTGCTTTCGTCGAATCCGAAGCCAAGAATCTCGCAAATGTGTCGTGGTAGCTTGTCTTGAACCGCCGCCAATTGGTGAAAAATAGCTTCAGCATCGCGCAAAACCTTGCTCAAGTCCAACTTCATTGACATATTGTTCACGTGCTAAAAAACATGATTAATAATGACATTCAGGAATTGCACAAAAGTTGTTCAAATAATTATGTGCCTCCTCTCAAAGCAACTTTTCGGGGTTAAAGAGCACAGAATTATTTAAACAACCCAATATTTAAAAAAGTCAAAACTTTAAAAAAACTTCAAAAAATTTTGTTTAAACATCCAGAAAATAGTATTTTAGGTAACAAAACGTCAAAATAAGTCCAAAAGTCATCATTCTAACCACATAAATACGTTTTTCATGCCCTTCTCAAAGTCTTTTTCAAAAAAATAACTACATAATAGGAAATACCCCCGTATTTTACCTTTAGAATCTCAGTAAGTCCAAACTTGTTGACAATGATCATATTCTCTTCTCCGTCCAAGATAGCTGCACAGATCAAGAGTAAGAAGTTTTTGCATGGTATGTCTGACCATAAGACTTCCCACAAAGTCATAATGTCATCAAAACCAAATTCCCGCTTGAATGCTACCAGAATCCAACGGAAACAGAAGTACATGTGGTCGGAGTCGTGGCCTTCTATAATGATGCTTTTTAATTTAAAATGACCTTTTATACTCAAAATGAAACGTTTTAAACAAAAAAACAAATTTTCATTAAATTCGCGCTTAAAAATTTGTTTTAAATTTTGTTAGAATTCAAACTTGAACATAATATTCTACACATCGTATTTTACCATACCTAGATAATTCGTCAATTTAGGATTGACAATTTCCAAAATAGCTCTCAGGTCAGCAAGCTGCTTCTTAATGGCTAACTGATCCATTTCGAAGTTTTTGTGAACTCTTTTCATCAAGCCGACAAATGTCCAGAAGGCATCGTACTCGTTCTCCATTACCACCAATAAAGGCGATAGATAATCAGACATTCCTTGCACATAACCTAGATCAAAGTCGTACATTACATATGTCATGAGGATGTCTTTTAGTATGGCCAAATTGTCCTTGTTCTTGAAAAACGGATGAGAACGGTCAGTTCGGGCTACGTCTTTGTCTGAAACATAATTAATATAGTCAGAAATTTGCTTTTTAATTTTTTAGAAAATTTTTAAGTCTAAATTATCAAATTTTGCAATCAAATTCCAAAAAAAGCAAAAATCAAGCAAAGAACCTTACCAATCAAAGCCTTTCTATCCCTAAATTCAGCGAATCGATTCTCCTGGTCCTCGTTAATGCTCATCCATTGCAGCTTCATTCGATAGTAATCATCCTTCAGCTTCTCAGCCCTTTGTTTGTTCTCTTCTACACTCAAGTCCCACTTCCAGTAGTCCAATAGGTACTTCCACAAGACCTGGCGTACCTCATCCTCTAGTCCGCCTCTGAATACAAGACTTTTCAGTTGATGCACATCCAGAATTCGTCCATCTGAAGCTTTGAATCGGTCAAAGGTTTGGGTGTTAACTGGTTGATCTCTGGACGGAATATTCGGTCGATCCGGAAGTTCGAGTTTAAAAATGTGCTCGAATCCGGCTTCGTTGTGGACTCTGAAAAATAATAATATAAGCTCTTCAAAACCATATTTATCAATATTTTCAATTTAATCACTTTTATATCAAAAAAGTATTAAATTTGCTTAAAACTAAATTTTTTAACTAATTTTTTATTTTTTTCTTACAAAATTTAAAAAAATCAAAACTCACCTCAGCTTGTTCATCTCTTCAGTCGAAGGATCGAATTGATGTAAAGCTTTGATTTGATGTTCATTGATAACCGCATCTGGATCCAATAATGGAGCCATGAAAGAAGTAACCTTGCTCAAAGCTGTCATTGATGTAGCATATGGGTTGGAAATGAATCTCTAAAACAATTTTATCTTTAACTGATCTAAAAATCAAAATATTAAGCTTTTTTTCTTTAAAATCAACTTAAAAATCGGTGTTATCACCCAAAAACATAAAACCAATAAGTTTTGTAGCACAAAATTCGAAACAAAAGCCTTTTGTTACCTAAAAACCAAAAACAATATCAAAAACTTACTGATACAATATCTCTGTCAATATTCAACATGCCAACAGATTTCTCCAAAGCATCAGCTCTTGGATCAACCACAACGACAAGATTCTTTTCCTTCGAGCTTCTGGTTAGTGTAATATACTTCTGAAGATGGGTAACAAAGTCAGTGTATCCTCCAATTTCAAAATGAAGAACATGAGAAACTGAGCCGTCTTTGCAGATAAATTGAACCCATGGATTACCTAAAATATCATCATTACTTAGAAAACAAGGTAACTAAACAACTAAATTACAACAATATCATAAATAGTACTAAAACCTTGAATTTAACAGACAATATACTATAATATTACCTTGAGCAGGTTCTCCAAACTTGAATGAACGTAAATCCTTGACATCGGTCGAAAAGAGTAAAGCATTGTAGCTTAAGCCCAAAGATCGACCGGATGGCGAAGGTGGATTACTGTTTCTTCCTTCAATTACCCAACTTTGATCAATCTCGTCTTCTGGAGCTGGGATTTCGGCCGGCTTCCATTCTATATAAATTCCGTGAGGCTAAAAGTTTAATTTTAATTTTTTAAAATGATTATTTTAGTGTTCAGACAGGTTTTTTCTGCTATTGTGATTTTCCAAGCCGTTCTTTGCTTTTCCTTATTTCACTTGAATAAAACGGTTTAAATCAATAGTTATTATGAAATTGTAATGTTTACACTATCATAACAAAAAGCTGATTCATCGTTTCGTCGATGAATAAAAGTGCAAGGAAGAAATGTACCTAAACATAAAAGAAATCAATAAATAAATGTTTACCTTTTCCACAACTGACAAAACGCCATTAACTTTGCCACTTTGGCCTGTGTTCGAGTTGACAACATCCGCATGGACTTCGCAGATGATAAACGTGGTCTGAAAATCAATAGAATTAGTTTTATTACCTAAAACTTAAAGATTTTGAATAAATACCATCTTAACCTTAACTAACTCAGTATGCACAAAACTCTTGACCAGAAAAACGACTAAAATACGTAATAAACAATCATATGACACTCCTACCTCTTCGTGAGCTCCAAACGGTTCGGTGTTCTCCATTCTGGAGCTTAACTGGCTGTAAACGTCGTAGTGCGCCAGCTCTGAGATATTATCTATAACAATGTTTACGTGAAGATCTTTGTGAAATCAAAATTAAAAAAAGCTTTGAAAACAGCGTATCACTCGCGACGACTCATTCAACATAAAGCTCTCTTGCACTCGGCATTGGAATAAAAAAATGAAAAACACATGAAAAATGCGACAAGTCTGGCACTTTTGAGTCGAGTTTATCGCTTAACATAGATAAAGTTAGATTTTGATAGAATTCGGTCGATATAGAGAAAAATGAAAGTAAAAAAGCGTTTCTAAATATTTTTTACAATTTCAGCTTTAGTTTTAAATGTTAAAAGTTACAAAACAAATTAAAATCGTTGAAAAAAAGCTTTCTGAAGATGATACTACCAAGTACAATATAAAACTTGCTCTGTACTAAGCTTATTTTTATATTTTCATTAGTAACTGTCAAAAAAGTATCTCAATCTATAACTTAAACATAACGCGTATTTTTATGTTTTGTAGTTAGTACCATACCGTTGATGTATGAACTCGTTACAGTGTAACATAACATTAAAGCATATAAAAAAGTTTGTTTACAACTTGTAATATTAATATAAACACAATTACACATGAATATTGTTTTTTTATTTGTTTTTTTTTTGTTTTTCATGAGAACTTCAGCTTACGACAAACACACGTGCTATGCTGAACCTAAATGAGTACGCACGCTTGTAGTATAATCCCTATAACAAGTAAGTACGCTTGTAAAAAACATTTTGAAAGCTTCATTCCTTTTTCAACACAAGATATACAATTTAAGACGAGGAGGGGGGGGGGATGTAATAATGTCTGATCGAGTTATTGTAGTTGTTCCCAATCGGACCCCATCCTGGTGATCCTGTTTCTCGAGCTACTAAGGCGTGATGAGGTGCTCCTCAAGAGTTTAATTCATAATCCAAAGCCTGTACAGGCCAAGCAACCGGTTTGCCATAGTCTGGTGGTTTATTGGTCGGTGCTTCAACCGACTGAGCCACAACCGCTCATTGTAGTGGTATATTGGTTACAAAACATTACTTTATTTATCGAGATACTTCATTTCTACAAGTTTATTAAAGCCGTATTGTATATTTGACATGTTTTTCTAAATATTAAATTTTCTAAATTTAATTTGTCAATTTGTATGTAAATTATTTTTTTTTTTAAATTTTACTTCAAATTTGTCAAAAAAATTAAAATGTAAAAGACCACACAACATCAAATATAGCGTGAACTACTAGTAAGTATAAGTTTTTATGTCATTTTCAAACGCATATTCACTACACACTTCTAAAAGTCGAAAAATTTTAATGTTTGGTCAATATCTTTATATCTTTTTGTCATAATCTACAGTTTGCGGTAACTTTATTGTCATGAAACGGAAGTAAATTATTTTTACAATAAAATAATTTCTTTTATCGTTTAAACAAGACATACATTGCGTTGTCAACAATTACAATGATTAAAAAGACAATGGTTTTACATGGTTAGGTATTGACCTTAATACTTTTAAGATTAATGATATAAAAAATGTCTTTGAAAAAGTGTAAATACAGTGACACAAGTATTATACTTTCAAGGTTACTCTGTAATCCAATTATTATATTTTCGTTCTTTGGTAAGCTTTTGAAACTTTAAAATAATTGAATAATATATGTATTATATTATAAAGGTTCTATAATACTTTATGTCATAATTTTGTTATAGAAAGTTGATATTTTATAATGTAAAGAAGGTCTTACTATGCGGTTTTTGTACAAGTCTTTTACCCTCTACCCTATTACTCTACCTTTTCCTTACTCTTACTTTAGTAAAAACTTTGATGGTATAATATTCCTTATACTCATTAAAAAATGTGCTTTTCTATATCATATTAACCTAACTGAACTCGTAACATATACAACTGCACGTTACTCTTACAACCTCTGCCTTACCGGATTAATAAGAAGTATTGTCACTTAGTTTGGGCCCAGTTACTTCCGTTTCTAAGGTTGGGCCCGCGTTGTTTGTGGCAAAAAATATAACTCGGTTTTTCACTATGTTTACTCTAGAATGTCACTCGTAAGCTGCTAGGTATTATACTTTAATTTTAATACCTGAAATATGGCTCAATAGGTTTTATGATATCATTTTGAGTTGTTTCCTATCTTGTATTTTACTTGACTTTTTGTGGGGGTTTTAAGAGATTGGTGAGAGCATTAATAGGTGTAGTCGAGTAGAAAAGTAAGTTGAGTTGTGAAAGTGGAGGGTCGGTAGTGTTTGCAATTATTTTTAAAAATAATTTTATTTTCTTTCGTTACATAAGTTATTTTAATCAAGATAGTCTGAAGGTTAAAGTGGGATAAGGTAGAACAAGGTAAAATAAAGTAGAGTAAAGTGAGATGAGGTAAAGTAATATAAACTGTAATGATCATCAAGGCCAGGCGCCAGAAGAAGGAGATAGACAGGGAGAGCACACCTCTACCCAGAAAGAATTTTAAAATGAACAGTTGTTTACATTGTTTCATATCTATATTATACCACTTTTTCCACTATCATATAGGTTGTTGTATGTTTACATTACGTGTGGTGATCTGTCTGTAATATAGAACCTACTTTTTTTAGTATAATACATGTTGTTCTATGTCCCCCCACCTTCGAGTCAAGTACTTTTACAATGTGTTGTCCTAGATGTAAAGGATTACTACTGAAAGCAATTAAAAGATAAAGCGGTTCATTTTTTGGCGTCATTCGTAATTCGCGGAACACAACTAACTGCAGCTGTTTTGTAAATTACTTTTGTTTATTGTAAGGACCCTTAATGCCATGGTTTTACCTGTTTTTGAGCACGTTCAATTTTCTGTAGGTCCAAGTTTTTAATTTTTTAAGCATTTTTGCGCTTTTAAGGAATCTGGACATTTAATTTTGAAATTTATAAATTTGAGTTTTATGGGGTTTGCTATACTATATTTTACTATTGGTTTTGACATATATAGAAGAGGTAAAACATTATAAAGTAGTTAAAAAGCAATGTATCTTCAGTAACTTAATGTAGAACAAGATGGTCTAACTTAAGATAATGTAGAATAAAAGAAGTTAAAGAAGGGTATGGTAGTTTTTGAGTAGTATAATCTATGATAGAATAATATATGGTAAAGTAAAGAAAGATAAAATAGTAGACTAGGTTTGAGTAAAGAAAGGAAGAGTAGGCTAGTTGAATTTAATGTGGTATATAACCTAGTCTCTCTGTTAAACTAGCTCACGGTAATCTAAAACAAAGAAAAGTAAAGTAGAGTAGTAAAGTATAGTAAAATGGTAGAGCAGGTTGAGAGAAAGTACTAAATTTTTAGAACATTTTACTTTACCTAACATTTTTCTTCGTTCATATATGTATTTATAATCAAGTTTAATTTTTTTGATTTTGTAAGAATTTTATAATTGTTTTTTTCTTTTTGGGCCATTTTTTGACTGTTCTGTCTAGCCTAAAAATTCAAAATGTTAGACTTTTAAAAATTGCTTATGATGGATGTACACATTTAATCTTTTTATCAAAAAGTTAGTTTTTTTAACTGTTTTAAACTACATTTTATGCCTTTAATTTTTGTTTTAATTTTTTTTACTTTAATTTTTTCTGTTTACAACAAGATTGTCGTTGTCGTACCAATTTTGCAAACAATATCTTTTTCGAAGTTAACCCGAACTTGATTTAAATTGTCGTGTGCCGCAGATTGTAGTCGTATGGCAGACACACATCATTTGGAAAATGTAATTTGGGGTCAGGTGTGGGACACATTTACACCGGTTTGCTTCGTGGTGTAGACGCGGCTGAAGGGGCTTGTTATTAAATTGTAATTCGAATTTGTTACTTATTGCCGAGGGCTTACAGCTTTGTTATGTTTGGATGTTATTTGGTATGATACTATATAAAGCTGGCTAGAAATATAATTAGCGGGGCCAAGACAAGGCAAGTGCAAGGCCAAGGCAGGACCAAGGCAGAGCCAAGGCAGGGCCAAGGCAGCGTCAAGACAGCGCCAAGGCTGGGCCAACAGGGCTAAGGTAAGGCAAAGTCTGGGCAAAGGCAGGATCCGGGCAGGGAAACACAGGGCTAGAGCAGGGCTAAAACAGAGCCAAGGCAAGGCCAAGGCAAGGCATTATCTTTTATCTCATACCCTCCTCAGTAGCCTAGAGTATAATATAAAATGTTGTTTATACACCTATTATACGCAGTCTGTCTACCATCGTACTTAAAAAAACAATAAAAACAACAGTACGATGCTCCGAAGTTTACAGAGTAAATTGCCGACTGCAAAAACATAATTGTCGGTAATAAGTTGTTGTTTTGTTAAAGTTCCGTTTTGTTATTAAAGACATAATTAGTGTAATTATGTAAGAATTTTATCGCGATTGCTTTACAATTGTGCTTACGGCCGTTGTTTTGCCAGGCCTAACATATAGTTTCGTTGTAAACGACAAAAAATTGATTTTTTTGGAAAAAATGGGCTTTTAGTACTAATATCTCACATTGCATTAGGCGTTTTGATGTCATATTTTATGTTTAAAGTTTTACAATACATAACAAATGCTGCTTTTTATTATATAATACTACTGTAGTACATAGTACCTTACGGTGCTCTTTCCACTAATTTAATTAATGTTGTAGGTGTTTTCACAACTAAAAACTCAAGTTACAGTAAATTTTGCACGGTCCAAACTTTTTCTCAGAGTAAATACCTTTTGACTGTTTTTATGACGCGACACACGACACAGGTACAAAGTAGATCTCATTGCGTGTGAGTAATTTTTGTCGTCTGATCGTGTAACGATCGCACTTTACACTTGAATGTCGTTCGTGTCCTGCGTCTGTTAATGCCTACATTCTGGTAAAAAATTAGGAGAAGAATGAAGTAGGAGCTCAAAATAGATGACATACGTCGATAAGAAGCCTAGGATTTAAGAAGTATTGTTGTAATGGGGAAGTAAAACAAATAAGCTGCGCAAAAACCGAGAAAAGGCAGAGCAAAGTCAGGTTAAATGCAAGACAAAGCAAATGTAAGGCAAGGCAACGCAAGGCAAGGCAAGGCAAGACGATGCAAGGCAAGGCAAGGCAAGGCAAGGCAAGGCAAGGCAAGGCAAGGCAAGGCAAGGCAAGGCAAGGCAAGGCAAGGCAAGGCAAGGCAAGGCAAGGCAAGGCAAGGCAAGGCAAGGCAAGGCAAGGCAAGGCAAGGCAAGGCAAGGCAAGGCAAGGCAAGGCAAGGCAAGGCAAGGCAAGGCAAGGCAAGGCAAGGCAAGGCAAGGCAAGGCAAGGCAAGGCAAGGCAAGGCAAGGCAAGGCAAGGCAAGGCAAGGCAAGGCAAGGCAAGGCAAGGCAAGGCAAGGCAAGGCAATGCAAGGCAAGGCAAGGCATTTCTAGAAAATTTTTATATAAAGTTTTATCTAAATGTCAAGTTTAATATGCGTGCACAGACGGTATATTTGATCAAACGCTTACAAACATCAACCTTAATCCCGTATGGACTATGCCACGAGACAAAAAGTTTGTTATGCAGTCTTATCACCGTCCTGTTTACCACAATAACTTTGTTAACCGCATATAACCGGGCATGCTAATTAATGGTCGGGCACGCGATATGACCGTGGCCATGAAGGGCTCCAGGGCCGGCAGGTATTTTGCGGTCAATACCTACTTGTACGAAGCTAAAGAGCATATTTCCGAATAACTTTGGTTTTTGTAAAATACGGTGAACTCATGCAATTTTATTTTATTTAAGTTTAATTTTAAAAAATTTTTTTAGCTCAGACTAATATTTGAGAAGGACTAAAGAGTGAGGTAGATTTTTTTAAGAAAGAGAAAGGTGAAGGGGTAAGAACTGTAAAAAACATTGTTTGTTTTAGATATCTAAGCTAGACCTAAACGGAGGCCTACTAGGGTTGTGACAAAGCAAATTTAAAAAAAAGTCAAGTCTTGCCAGGACGAATGGTCTTGAGGGCCGTGACCGAATCTGAAGCCCTGTCCGTGGGTTGGGCTGAAAAATAGGTCCCGGTCCGACCCCTTTTCACTAGGTCTAATCTAAACTTATTTTTATGCTTGATTTCAATAAAATTCACTATAATTCTATTTACAATATGTTTATTTTTCTAATTTTTATCCCACCATATTACCTAAAATTCACAATTTAATAATCTTAAAACTTCAAAACCAATTCAAATTTTTAACTTTGGGCCACAAAACACGCACGTACAATAGCATTGACGTGATATTGAGTTAGTTTTGTTTTGCCATTCCCATTTTATGACAATTTGTTACAACGAACCGTGTCTTGGTGTGGTTGTCATGCAATAGTCGATTTTATTGCTAACGCATTACTTTACATGTTTTAGCTTGTGGCAATTTAGAAGGTATTTTTCATGACTTTTGGGTTGATTTACTAAAGTTTTTCTTTTTTATGGCATTTTTTATTTTTAGGTATTCTTCAACTGGGAGATTTATTAGCCGGATTTTACAATATTTCACGAAATTTGAAAGTAGAATTGTCCGAATTTTGGAAAAACTTAAATTTAATTTTAGACCCACTTAATTTGCAAGAATTTTCGTATCTTAATCTATATTGTATTCATTTTTAAACACTAGATTCATTTTTGTATTATCTTTTTATCAACCTCCCATTGTCATTTTTAGAATTACTTTAGTGTAACAGTTCAGAAAAGTAATGAGTATAATTGAAAACTTAATGTCAACCGTGCTGACATTAAATCGCTATGGCGATGCTTTTTTATTGTGTCTGTGCTTTCAATGTGTAACTAAAAGTAGTACGAATTTAAACTGTAATCATTCTGAAGTATAAAGGCAGGTTTTTGGAGGTATTGATAAATTACAGATTTTTTAAAGGTTTGTAGGGGCTGCTAGACTTATTTTTGTAAAAAGTGATAGTGGAGGATATGAGAGATAATGGGATGCGGTAAATACATAGAACATGATGAGGGCGGTTAATGCTTTTGCTTTTTAGATTTACACTTGTAGTAAAGTTAGGAAAGAGAGGAGGAGATATATTGAAAGCAACGCATTGCAAAGCAAAGGCAGGGCAAAGGCAGGGCAAAGGCAGGGCAAAGGCAGGGCAAAGGCAGGGCAAAGGCAGGGCAAAGGCAGGGCAAAGGCAGGGCAAAGGCAGGGCAAAGGCAGGGCAAAGGCAGGGCAAAGGCAGGGCAAAGGCAGGGCAAAGGCAGGGCAAAGGCAGGGCAAAGGCAGGGCAAAGGCAGGGCAAGGCAATTTTTAAACTATTATCTGTTTTTTATAAAATTAGCGCTTATAAACATATACAACAACATATTTATTATCTAAAAAATGTAAAACTAAATTACCATGCATAAATACTTGTATACTCTTTAGCCATATTGTTTTTAAAACCTTGTAATTTGTTTATTTTTTTTATTGAAATAACTTTCGAGTTTGTAGGAGTTATAAAAGAAAGATCTTGTGGTTGGTTTCTAAACATTTCCTACTTCCAAGAAATTTGCTTATGAATTAATGGTAATTTTAAAACGAACTAGCAATTTGTGAAATAATGTTAGGTGGTAGCTGGAAACATGTTTTTTTAGTATTTTAGGTTTATTTGTACTAAAAGATGACCTTTCTGGTTTTTAATGCTCATTTCTTTATGTTTATGTTAAATATTGTGCCGGAAATTATAATTATTTTGTTTTTTTAGTTTGTAAAGCAAACTTTACTATTATAAACATCAATTTAGGCAAATATAATATGTAAAGGACGTGTTTTTTAACATTTTTTGTAAAAAGCTTTTAAAAATTTTGCATTTTTTTATTTTTTTTTATTTCTCTCTCTGCCCCCCCCCCGCTCTAACGAAAAGTTGCGTTTTTTAAATTTGGCATTGTATTTTTTTATCTTTATTTAGTTACCAGGTATACCTTTTGTTTAGTAACCTTCTTCTTTTCCTCTACTCTAGACTTGAAAGGAGGCTCATTAGTCCTGGTTTTTTTACAAGCCCACTCTAGCTTTAAAAAATCGAAATTTCTAGTTTTTCACTGTTGACAAGAACAAAAACTTACTTATAAAAAGCTCACTATAACACGAGTATGCCAACCCAAGAAATAAAACTTAAATTTGTGAACACAATCTACGCTTACTGAGTAAACTGTTTACACCTGCTTGGCAAAACACAGCCAAAACTTGACAAGAAACTACGAAAGCTCAAGTGCCATATTTGTATGATACAAGTTCTTGGTATCGAAGTTCTTGCAAAATACGAAGAATTACTTTGTAGTTTTGCCCATTTTGTTATTTCAACAAATTTCATTATTTTTTGATATCTTTTGGTTTGTAGCACACAAAGGCAGTGGGAAGTTGGTATTGCACTGAGAGTTTGGTGGTCTTTGTGTTATAAAAGTTGGGAGGGTTTAAGTTAATATTTTAAAACAATATAATAGCCTACCCTCCCCTGCTTTGTCTTGCCATGTTCTGTTTTTTAATCAGTTTTGTATTATCTAACTACTTTTGTTTACCTTGTTATTTCGGTATATTGTTGTTGTTATTTCTTGTATCATACTAATGAGCCAAACATACCTACCTATAATACACATGTAATATAATGTCACACGTGATACGTATCAATTGAAACCGTTAATTTTACTTTCAAAACATTAAAGTCAAACTTAAAATAACTTTAAAACGCAGTTATTTAATAAATTTTGAGCGTTCAGGTATCAACCACCACATCTCTTAACATAACTTTTTAACAACTTATAGTATGATCCTTTAACTTCACTGATACTATTGAATTGTTGTACCCAACACAGTACAACTTCATCTTTATTCTTCATTTGTATAGTTAATTATGGGTGCTTCATTGTGCAAACCTCGGCCTAAAAAGAGGATAACGACGTCAAGTTGGATCGCCAGTGAAAACGAAAATCCATTTGAGACGAATTTTACAAAAAAAGAACGAATATGCTTGAGGGAGACTTACCAAGTAAAAAAATTTTTAAAATGACTGATTTTATTTAAAATAATTTTTTGAAAATTTAAATTCTGAAATTTTTTAAAAAAATTTTAGCATTTTTAAATTAAAAATAAGTTTTTTTCATGTATAATCAGTTTTTTAGAGGCTACACGACGCTAAAGAAGTGGTTGGCTTAATATTCGTTGATCTAATAGTAGATTTGGTACCGGAAATGAAAAAGGTAAGCTATATAAAATTATATTTCAAATATCGATTTTTCATACCTTAACTATAGGCCTCGTTTTTTACCGACAATTAGCCTTAAAACTCCTAAATTTTCAGGTTTTCGGAGCTGACCGTGTACCCAAAGTAAATATGATGAAAATGCCAAAGCTAGGTGGTCATGTCGCGAGAATGGCTGATTTTCTAGAACAAATGACATCAATGTTGGGCTTTACCGAAAATCTAATTGGAGCGTGGCAATTGGCGAGGAAAACTGGTCGATTACACACAAAAGTGCCATTTTTAATGCAGAATCAAGATCAGATGGGACGAAATTACTTTCAAATAACTTGTGATGTCTTTGTGACGGAGTTCATTCCTTATATGACTGGAGAAAAGGTAAGAGTTTTGGTTGATTAAAGCGCTTGGAATTTGATGAATGTGGATTTAATATAACAAATAAAAGGTCAAAAGGTGTAGGATGGATAAAATTTTATATTATGTTAGACGTAAAGCTCCAGTTTGTGCCCTTTTTGACCCTTTTAAGACATATAATACTATCTAAATCAAACTAAAACGCTTGTCATTACCTATACTTTCATAATTATCAAATTACAGGCCGACCCAACTGACCACGAGCCAGAAGAAGATAAGAAAAAGGTCCGATTCGCTCAGAACTACACGCCACAACAAGTGCAAGATGCGTGGAAACGATTCTTCGCCGTTGTCTCTGGTCAACTCACAGAATCATTCGAAATCGAGCGACAGAAAGGTTTGAATGCTGATAATCAAAAAACTTTGGCACCTCATCAACACGTCGAAGCTGCTGAACATAAACGGAAACAACAGGCGGTAAGGTTAATACTAAGTTATCTTTATTGATGGAAAAGGCAAAAATATAGATATTAGATTAAAAAAAGGTGCAGATGATAGACTTTGATGACCAATTTAATATTTTTGTAAAAAAGGTCAATTTATGACAATTTTTTTACCTAAAATATTAATTTAAAACCTTCATAAGCCTCCTTACAAAAACAGAAATGAAAATAAAGAAAGGCCAAACGTCGCCATGATAGCTCAGTTGGGAGAGCGTTAGACTGAAGATCTAAAGGTCACCGGTTCGATCCCGGTTCGTGGCATTTTTGCTTTGGGACTAGATAAGGCTACCGGGTCAGCCGGCCTAGAAGCTAACTCTTTTTAAGGCTTGATAACACTTTTTTTCTGTGTAAAAGTAACTTTTTACAAACATATTTCACCTGAAAACTACAGAAATTAGCATAAAAAATGTGTTTAACAAGCTATTTTCGAAAAACGAAGCTAATGGTCAGCGCTTTCAACCTTAGTATCATACTAACCTGTAGCTACAAAGGTTGCAGCGTAGTATTAAAATACTCTAATTACAATATATAGTACAATAACTTGTTGTAGGAAAAGCAAAGCGAGCAGGAAACAGCCCAGACTAATGAACGAGGAACTGAAGAAATGTTTGAAGACCCATTTTAAGGCCTTCAACCTTCGCTATTCTCGGTAACTGCGACAACATACAAACATAAGCAGTCCAAAGTGCCTTCGATTTGTGGACAAGTTCATGCGATCTCAACCCAACACATATTATGTACAATTGATGCGTTTAGGATAAAGTAATAATAATAATAATATTGTAATAAACGAGTTCACTTTGAAGGCATGCTTTCTGTTCTCATGAGACTCGACACGCATCAGCGTTTTGGCGAAAAGTATCTGGCGTGTTCTCGATGATTCTCTTCTAGAAAAACCGTAACTGTAATGAAAAATTAAGTCTAAAGCAAGTGAATTTTCATATAACTTTAATTGTTTAATGCACAAAAATAAGAATCTCAACAATATTTTAATAATAATATTTAGTATTGATTAACAGTGAAACAAGAGAAAGTATTGAGACCATTTTTCTACACAGCGGCCATTTCTCGAGGCTTTCGAACTGTATTTCCTGAAATAATTAGGTATTATGTATAGTAAGGTAAGATAGGACAAGGTAAAGCAAAGCAAAGTAAGTTGAGACAGAGTAAGGTAAGCTAGGTTAAGGTAAAATAGAGTACAGTAAATGGGACTAAGGTAAGGTAGAACAAAGTAAGGGAAAATATGGTAATACGGAGTAAGGCAAGGCAGGATAGGATGGGATTCTAGAAAATAAGCATACAACCAGGGACGGGTAGGGGTGACTCCCCCCCCAGAGCCGATCCGAAAAAAAATCCACAGTTATCTGTAAAAAAACGAAAAAAAGTTTTCGGAAAATCGGTACACAGGTGGACCAAAAAATTTTTTTGGGTCTCCACCACAGAAAAAAAACCGTAGCGACGTCCCTGCATACAACCAAAAGCCTAATTCCCAAAAAAAATAAAAAAAACTCACTCAAATTGTTAACAAATTCCAACAACAACAAGGCCGTCTTGACCAGTGGATGATCATTTTCGTTCTCTGATTGTCGTTTCAAGTGATTTAGAAGTTCGGTTTGTACTGATACGCAGTCCTCGATCTAAAACAATATAAAAGACTTTTTTTTTCAAACATAACAATCATTGTAAAATACGTTTTTTATAAATTCCTCTATAAAATTTTCGATCAAGCATAAGCAAATTCAGCCCAAAAATCGCTCAAATCCGCCAAACATCGTTAAACAACAAAACAACATAGAAAATATAGCATTCTACTTACATCATCAATAACAGAATTCTTGTAAATCGTAGCAGCAGCTGCTTGGCACAGTCTGAATAAGGATCGAACGCATTTTAAGTACAAATGTGCAATTCCATATTGATTGATCTCGTCCGAAGATCCATTAATCGGAAGGAAGAAGGCTTCTCGTGGTGGGTTCTGCCATAACGAGAGCTTAGCCATTCTGTGAAGAGCTTTGCATTCGGCCAACGTCTTGAAACCGGTCGATGTGTTGGTCAGACGGATAAGGAAACACTAAAATAATTTTTTTAATTTAAAAAAAAATTTTAAAAACAGCCCCTAAGTAGCTTTTTTGATCCTTCTTTACCCACTAATTTAGATATAGTAATATAAAGAAAGATCAAAGCTCCCATGCCCACCAAACCAATAAACCTACCACAATGACATGAAACATGACCAGTGAATCCCGGTTTGTCGCTTCTTTTCCATTCTTAAAGTCCAAATCCGTAATTTTAGGTAACAAATCCAGAAGTGTTTTTACCACACCCAATCTGATCACATGTCCAGCAATGTTGTTTTTGCCAACTCTGTCTTCCTTCAACATCTCTGCTAATGAAGATATGGCCAATATCTTGTGTTCGAATGGTGCAAACTCAATGTCCTGAGCACTAGACTGTACCAGTTCGGCCGAGTGTTCCTCAAAAACGGCTGCCCAGATCTCGTCGACTTTGGCCTTTTCGTCAATCAGGTTTAACAGTGAGGCTGGCTGCTCGTTTTCCACTTGTTTTTGTGTTAATTGGCCTGTTGCTCGCCATTGATCGACCAGGTTCTTGTCGGATATAAAGCTGTCTTCGGTGCAATTTTGAATGACACACAATATCGATGAGTAAATGTTCATTTTAAACTGAGAATGGCGATTGTAAGCTGAAAATCATAGTAAAAAGCAAAGAAATGTTGCAGATGTCTTAATATACAAAACAATTTTTTTTAAATTATAACTTACATGGTAAAACAGCGCAAGATACCAACATGTTAAGTACTTCTCCCAATGCCAACTTCCTTTCTGCTTCTGTTTCACATTGTACTATCGCAAACTTGACCAGCAGCCGTACCAGAGCAAAACAACAGTTTGAAACTCCTCCTAATACCTAAAACAAACTCATATTACTCATTGAAACATTGAAAAGCCAGTATTTTCTAAAAAAAGTCACGCCCAAAAACCTTAGCAGTAACATTATTTCAAAATACATAAACATAATAGTACCAAACCCTGCTACATTACGTACAAACAAACATACTCATAAGTAATCTCTAACAAAACTAAAACATCACCCTTACCTCTTCATTCATCTCCACCTTCTGGACATACTCCTTCAGTAATGTCAATGCATCAGTGCAGAACTGTTGTTGTGTTTCCAAAGGAATAAACGGCAGCGGTGAAAAGTACAGTATTCCATTAACCAAAGCTATCCATCCTGACAGCAATTGTACACACGATCCTTCGAGTCTCCTTTGAGCATTGTAACGTACACAATACAGAAGGATCTGGTTTGCATCTTCCTTGAAGTCAGTTACATCATCGTTTACAATTGCTGCCAACTCTTGTTCTAGTAAAAACTTGACATATTCCACATCATATTGATCTACAGAGACTACTGATTTGCGAAGACAGAGATCTAATACCTAAAAATCAAAGTTTCAGTCAAAAACTTGTGTTAAACGTTACAAAATTCATAAAAAAAGTCGAACAGCAAAAACTAGGTAACAGTCTAAACTTTAAAATAGTCAAAAAAGTTACTCTCAAAACCAAAAAGTCTGTTATCATACCTCAAAAATCAATATATCAACCTAAACTTACATCCTGCACTTTCCTAACATCAAACTTGTTGTACTTCGGCGTACAAAGCTCTTGTGAAGCACTGATTGAATTCTGAATCAAGCTCCAAATCAGCCCACATTCAGCAGCCTCATTATCCTTGTTCGAGAGCAATATCTCCAAGTATTCTCTACCCGTATCCGTGTGTCCTTGTTGCATAGCTACAGAAAAATCGACAGCAATCAGTTCCAGAATCAGTCCTCTAATCAATCGCTTCACACTTTCTAACACTGAGTTCTGCTTCTTGACGTTTCTCAGCCGTGGTGATGTGTAGTCCAAAGTGTTTGTCACTATTGATGTATTGAGCATGGTTTCTTGAAGCAGAACGGTTTCTTGTTGAACTTCTAGGAAGATTTTGGACTTAGCCAAACGACGAATTAGGCTGTCGCATCCATTGCGAAGGAAGGCTAGCATTGGAACACACGAGAGGGAGCCGACAGTAGCAAATTTCAACTAAAAATTTTAAAAAATTAAAAAAGTGCCAAATAACTAATTTAAAAAATTTTCAAAAACGTTTATGCATCGATTTAATCTTAATATTATACAAACATAACTTCAAAAAAATTCCAAAAAGCAGTAAAACCATAGTTTTAAAGAGCTAAAGCAAACTTTCAAGACAATACTCAAGTACCGAAATTCACCTACCAAAAGCTTCAATGCACATTCGTATAAAACAACAAACTGTGAGCTTCCTGGATCTTCATTGTAAGCCAAGTGCTCCACAATTTCAACCAAAGACACAGTTGAGTTCAACGTAGCTCCATCTGATCCTAAAACAATAAAAGTAGAACTACAAATCTTTTTACAACTTAAAATTAACTTTTTCTAACACAAGAGTAGAACCGAATTAATAATGCCATTTTGAGCCATATGTTATAAATAATTACTTGCTAGCACCATAAATACCATATAACTCCAACTTTTCAATCAATTCAACTCAAAAAAATCAAGTTTTTAACCTTTTCCTCTCCCCAAAACTCACCAATGACACTCATATCACTATTGTTGATATTCTTCAAGTCAAACCCAAACAAATGATGTACAAAATTCGTCTGATTTGGATAAGCAATCAAGACTTTCGTGTATAAAATCATCAAATCTCGAGCAATCTCCCCTTTCAGCCTTGAAACAGACACGCTTTCCAAGTCAAATAGTACCAAGTCATTGTCATCCACCACCATGTCATTTAAGTTGATCGAGATTAGACGTGCAAACACTGGTGTAAGTCTTGGATTTGTGACAAATGTCTCCAGAAGTACACGGTTAGCATCAGAAGAGAGACGATCGCTGAGCTCGTTCAGAATGCGGACAACGTAGTAAGTATGCTAAAATTATATAAGCTAATGTCATTCATCCCAAGATCCGAAACTATATGTAAAAAAGCAAAAATTACAGTATTCCTTTTACAAAATTTCTCAACTTTTTCAAAAAACCACAAAAAATATCAACAAAACAACAGTTTGTTATCTAAAACCAAAAATTTCCCATATCCCTCCACCAAAACTCCCAAACTCACCTTCAACATCTGTTGCTGCTCCACAAAAGAATTCAGTAGATGTACGTAGTTCACAACTGGACTTGTTGGCAGTGGCGTTAGTAATATTGACTCAATTGGTGCAATAAAGATTGGTGCATTCTCTGCCGATGTTCTAAAGGCTGCTCGTACTGTTTGTGATACTGAACACGCATGAGCCAGCAGCTTCAACGCTGACAATGAAGCATCGTTCTTTGCTTGAGCCAACAACCATTGAGGGCTTTTGTCGTCTCTGCTCAGGACTGATATCGTGTCGTCCAGTGAGTTTGAGCATTCAAAGATTATTCGAATCATCTGGAATTAAAATTTTGAAATTTAAAAATTGTTTAAATTGAAACTCGAAATTTAAAAACAAAAAAGAACCTTGATATAAGATCATAAAATCAACAATTTTTATACTCCAAAACAACTTACAGCTCTGCTCAAATCACTATCGTTCAACAACTGACTTAAAACAAAGACTTGAGGTCCTTTTCGAGCTACGGAAACTGACGATATGTGGAATCTTCTGAGCAATTCAAACAAGGCATCCAATGCTGTTGATAACATGTTCCACTGAAAAAATAATCATAAAACTATTACCTAAAATAAAAAAACTGCCGTTCCCAACAAAGAAAATTATTATCATCAGTCTGGTCTATTACCGACTATAAAGCCTAGTCCGGACTAGTATCAACTACAATAATCAGTCCAGACTAGTACCGATTATAATCAACAGCCCGGACTAGTTTTTAATTTTCCTTTTTCAAGCGTCAAGAAAGATAAAAAAACTAAATTTGCCTACCATTTGAAGAGTATTCTTGTAGCCACGTTGATCAAATCGACAAATAATACTCTTTATTGTGAACTGAACATAAGGTGCAATTGTTTTAAGATCTGTTTGACTGAGGTTTTTCCTTGAGAACATTGACTTGACCAAATACAAGAAGCCTTCTGTCGAATCATACGCGTTTTCAGCGCTTTCAACTTCATCCAACTCGGTCTAAAATTAAAGTAAAATTATGAAAATTGCCAGAAATTTCAATTTTTTCTCAGAAAAAGGATTGAAGGCATTTAGGTACAGCGAAACCTCTTTAGTACAACCCTCAATAGTGTGACATCCACCTTACAATAACAAGTTTTAACCATTAATTTCCGTGTCATACTAAAGAGGTTTGACTGTAAACCTTTATCAAAAATAACCACAAAAATAGACGTTTGACTTAAAGGTGTATATAAACTCAACTGATAAAACATTAGGTATTTCCAGAGATAACTATACCATAAACCAACAAAAACCATTATAACACCAACCCAAAAAACCAAAACATTAATATTATCCTACCTGAATGCCAACCAACTTCCTAGTCTGCTCATTGTAATCACAAACTCCATGTTGTTTTAGTTGAGTCCACAGCTGAAGAGTTGAGCCTTCGTCTTTAGCTAATACGGCCAAAAACTTGTACAAATGCCCTTTTAAAATCAGTGGAAATCGTGTCATAACTCCCAAGATAATCGTCTCTACCGCGTTGAAATGATTGTCCAGTACGAAGTATCTTCGAGCTTTTGGTTCCTGTAAACATTTTTGATTATTTAACTATTATGTCATTTTAATGTACACTTTAAATGCCATTTTCTACCAATCACAATACCCAAAAACCCACCAAACTAGCCACTTCCGTAGCCAACCTTATCCAACAGACCATTCCACTCAATTCGTCCGAACTCATCCTTCTAACATGAACTGGAGGTTGGAAAGCAGGCATAGTCATATGAGTGTTGTTGTATTGTAATGCGGTTCTTCTGAATTCATTTATATATTGACGTAAAGTTCCAAAGAGATTCGCCCAGTCGAATAAAGATTCTCGGCCTTGGGAGAAGTGTTCACAGATGAATTGAGCTGCTTGACGTGATTTACATAAAGATTTCAACATGTAAACATAGTCAACGTAGAGGGTTGATGCACTGATTGATACTCCCGACAAGATAAAGTTTGACAGTTGCTGAAAGAACGCATTTTAGGTATGAAAAACTCACAAAAAATTTTTAAAAACTAACATTAAATAAAGATTGAATACAAAAATTCCATCAATTATCACCAACAGAGCTAAAATGCCACAAAAAAGCTAAAATATCAACTTTCAGTTCTTGTGACACCCCCACTTTTAACTTTTTCAAATTACTGTAAAACTTACAAAATTCGGATCAAAGAACTGCAGACTCAACTGGACAAGCTGTTCCGTATCCTCATCGTACATTTCTCTAATGATGTTCAACAAGACCTTAAAGTGCAGCGGAAAGTCTTTCAATTCGTGCATTTTATGCAAATCCGGATCCTCCATGATAATAACCTCTTCTTCACACACACTGAACATCTCCTGAACCTTCTCTGGACAATATACAATAAAGTCCTTCAAACATTTGTCAATCAACTCAATCGAAGATTGATATTTGTAAATGTTTGGGACTTGAAACACTCGCTGAAGAATGAAATGAAAGCAGTTTTGTTCGATCGACTGGTCAATTGGATCTGCCACTCCCAGGCGATCACGTCGAGCAAAGTTTCCGACTGTGCACTTGACTGTTATGGCGTAGAAAAATTGAATTGAAGCTCGTAGAGGACGATGAAGCCACTTTTCCTTGAGATTTTGTTCAAAGATTTCAAAAATTTCGTCTGCTGCGGCGTCTGAAATTTTTTAAAATAAGAAGAATATAAAGTGAAAACCTCTTATAATTTATTATATACTAAAACCGTCAAATACATTTAAAAGTAGAATTAGCCTTGTACACAACATCTTTAGTACCTAAAATTTCAACAATAATTAAAAAGAAAACTTACCAGCAAGTCTGATCCTATTCGGACTAATAAACAACGCCAGTCCAGTCCAAACAGTCAATTCAGCTAGTTTGAACGTTCTTCTAATTCCAGCCTTCAAATTATCTGACAATCTTCTCGAATCAAAGTCCATATTCATCGCTGATTTGAACAAAGCATTCAGATGTACCTTTTGTTGTGCTACTGGACAGTTGATAGACAAAAGGCATACAATCTCGTACACTTCTGTCTCTATGTCGTTCAGAATTCGCAGAAATTCATATTGATATAGCTTTTCAAAGTCGACGCGTTTTTCAAGAATTTCGAAGACTTCTAAAACAATATATTTTCTTCTAAAACAGTTGTTACCTAAAAATAAAACAAAAAATAAATACTTACTTAAGCAGTTATCAAAAAAGTCGTTGTTAACGTAGATATCATGGATAAACTTCTGGAGATCTTCACCAACATACTCTGGAAACACTCCATCTTCTCTTAGTTCCAATAGATTCCGTGTAGTACAAAGAAAACTTCTGTGAGCATCGTAATAACAAAGAACTGCACATATACCTCTCGTTATGTCTTTGTAGAACTTCTTTTGAATTTCACCTGAAAATATCAATCATATAATATAAAAGTACCAATGTATATCATGAAAAAGTCTATTGCAACCCTTGCTCAAGTCCAAAGCAAGGTTTTTTATGTCCACAAATTTTGAAAAAAAATGATATTCTCCTAAACACCAAACATAAGATGTAAAAGAACTTACCACACAAAATTAGATCCAAAGAAACTGTCATATCCAATTTGAACAATTCAGCAAGACTCTCGGCATCCTGGTAAATGTGTTCTGTGAGTACAATCTTCTGACCACTGCCAACTTCAATCTCTTGTCCAATTTTAGTCCGATTAATTTGTTGATTAGATGAAGCTGGCTGAAATTAATTTATATACTTTCTATTATATTGATATTATATTCAAAATCGTATTTTACACCTAAACACACAAGTTTAATAACTAAAAAACATATCAACATACCTGATTCTCGAGTGGTTTCAATAACCTTTGAATATTTTGTCGTAGAAGTGCCAACAAGCTGAGTTGAACCTCCAAATTTGTCGGATCTTGTTTAAAATCGGCTAAGGCCAATTCTAACCTCTTGGCTTGAAACCACATTTCGCTAAATTTGTAAAGGATACAGTTATTTGTTAAAATTTGCGAAATTTCTGCGAAAAAAATATTTTATTTTCTAATTTTTCAAACCGCCGATTATTGGTCTCGCAAGGACGACGCTCTTGGCTTTCTATTCTATTTACTTGTTTGTGTTACCATTTTCAAAGTTTTAATAATGTAATTACTACTTATACAATATCGTAAGACTTAGATAAAGTATTTTTAAAGCGATAATTTATTTAATCAAAAATCTATAACAATGTAAAGTTATAAGGAGCCAAATAATGTTGTTTTAGATCCATTCTTGTCGTTGACGTCGGTAGTTTTCTCGAAGCAGTGAGTTGACATCGTCATGAGACATATAATCTCTATGAGCTACTATTATGGGTCTTCTGGGTATGTCCATGTCTCTTGGTTTAAAGGTACGAGGCTCGGTTTGCGTTTCAGCATCCACCTTGCACTTGATCTCGGAGAAGAGACGGAATCGGTCCTGGAACAAAGTTTAGGTAGTTTTTTGAATTTTTATATTATTTTTGATAGCTTATGCTTTAGAAATCACATTTTTTAATGTTGAAAATTTTAAGGTGTCAAAGGTATACTTACTTCAGTCTGGAAGATTCCAATAGTGTTGTAGCTGCATATTGAGGTGTCGAAGAAGTTGTCGGTTTCATATTCATCGCAAAATGTGTTGTTTTCAGCGTCATGGTCGATAAGGCCGGTTCTGTCTGAATCCGGCTGTCTTCTGGGTTCTTTTCGTCGTTCTTCTCTCCAATATTTGAAGACAAACTTGGCATGGATAAGGTTGATAAGGAGGGAGATAAGTGATAAAGCGGTGAGGGTGTAGATGATTGTTCCTACTACAAATGGGAGGCTGTCTGAAACGGGTGGATATTATTTTAAAGATTGTAGCGCTTAAAGAATGTAAATTAAATAAGTATTGTCTATAACAATATCAGAGTTAAGGCCGGAGAATATAAACTTGTAATATTGGGGAGGGGAGTAAGGAAGGGAGGGAGGTTCCTTTATAAAATCTAACTATATTGCTTACCCTCAGCAGCCCAATCCCCAAAGTTGATAGTAGTAATGGCATTGATCAGGTTATAACCGATTAACTCGTATGTAGCTCCATTTCCAGCAGTAGAGTACCTATTCATACATATTGTACCAAGCCCGACCCATACTATGATAGACAATATTGCTAGTGGTATAGGTACGAATTTGAGTCGGGCAGCGACATTCAAAGCTGGTGTTTGTATCGATACAACTGAATTGACAAGCGCTGGAGCTGAGTTTTGTTTTAGGTTTCGACGAACTTCTGTCTCGGTTACAGTATTCAGGGTACAGTAACGAAAAACGTGGAATAGTCGGCCTGAAATTGCGTTTTAAGGTAACAAAAACTGCAGTTTTAGCTTTTAAAAGTACAAAGAATATACAGTAGATGTTAAAGTTTGATACAGTTGAATTACTGTAACTTTTTTTTGTTTGTTTTAACTTACAAAAAAAATTTTTTAGTTACAGAGCTCAATAATAGTAAATTTTTTAAAACTTTTTGAAAGCTTACATAATATAGTGCAGATTAGTACCAGTAGCTTCAGTAGGACCTTTTCCAACTCTTTTATGACCAGTAATGTAAAGGGTATACCAAGTAGACTGAAAGCCACAGAAGTCATCCTCCCCTTGGATGTTTCTGCTCGTATAGCGCTTTGTCCTATCGTTGATGAGCAGGAAAAGGCCTGAAATACTGTAATTATCCTACTGTGATCACATTTTTATTCAACATTTTATCTCTTGGTTTACTTTGTCTCTTGACTTTTTACCTTATATTATAATATCCCCTTTAGTTTATAACATCCAATATGTGCCATTCTTTTTTTAACTTACATAAAACAAAGCCCGAGGAAAGGAAGCCTTTAATGCCGGCTGGGTTTCTCTTGGTGATTCCATTCTGTTTCCTCTTCCATCATCACCACATTTGAATTTACGTTCGTATTCGAGTAGTCGATCATACAGGATTTGAGAGAGGTATCTGGTTTTATGGTCATGAATAAACAAAAACACTTTGGAGTTGTTAAAGATCTCTGGCAGTAAAATGTGTGATATGAAGCTGAAAAATAAAAGTGTGATTAAAAGTTTTTAAATTTTGGTTTATGGCGGTATAATATTAAATTTAAGGATATATTACCATTGAAACTTTTAGACTTTTTATATTGTCATAGGGTATTTTGAGAATAATTTTTTAAATTTTAATTTTCCTAGAATGTAGTCAACTTTAAAAATACTATAAAACTTTTTTTTTGTTTTAAAAAAGTCATTTCAAAGTAATTTCTACCTTTGGCAACCATTAAAAACGCAAAAAAGTTTCCCTCCCCGGCCGGGAATCGAACCCGGGTCTCGCACGTGACAGGCGCGGATACTTACCACTATACTACCGAGGACACGTTTGATGTTTCAGATTTTCTCTCTGAATATCGAAAACAGTGTTTCGGCTAGTTGAAGGTCATTCGAACAACAATATTTTTGCTTCATTTCAAAAAAATGATTCATATTTCGAATTTAGATGTTTTAAACGCATAGAAATTAAAAAAGCGAGCAAAAGACGAAAAAACAGTGAATTTGGAATACTGTCAATTTACCTTTTAAAATCAACAATCAAAAGGCTTAGCAAGTCAACAAAGCCCAATATGAACTTTTTCAAACATTTTAGTAGAAAGACTACCTAGGCGTTCATAATTAAAAAATCTTACCTCTGCCTTTGCAAGCTGGCTCGATACCTCCATTGGACGTGTGTTTTGGAAGCCGCTGACTTCTCAATGGCTACAAAACTGATGGCAAATGAAGTTAAGAAGAGGCCGTAAGCAAGCCACAAAGCCAGATGATTCAGTCCAAGCTTTAGGTAACATATCTTACACTTTTTCAATGCCGAAATGAAGATTTCATTCTTCATTTTTGTGGGAATCGCGGCATTTTGGCTAGCTGAAAAGGGAAAAATTTAATTCTTTGGAATTTCAATTTTTAGCGAAACGCATTGATGATGTTTATATTATAACGAATGATTTTTAGAGAAAGTAAAATAAATTAAAATAATGTTTTTTATCCTTAAAATAAGCTTTAACTACAGCTTTTTATAAAAAAGGAGCTGGAGCCTATAACAAGGTTAGGTAAATCTTGTCAGAGCAATTTGAGACTTTTTTTTCACTTTTAGTTTCAACCGTAATATAAAGAGAGTGTACGAAACCGTATTACTATAGCTGAAATATATACAAAGCAAAAGCTAAAAAAATAGTTAAACCTTTATTACCTCGTTAGCTTAATCTTACTGTAACTTAGTTTTAACATCTTAATGAACCTCAACTCCCTAACCAAGAAGATCAACAAGTTAACAAAGCCCAGCTTGACAAATCCCGACTTGACAAAGCCAACACGACGTTCCTTTTTATGATATGACATTGAAATTCTCGTATGACAAAGCCGCGCGCCATATTGTCGCAAAAGCTTTGTTGTGGCCAAACTTTATCGTCGCGGGGCGGCCGTTTGTGACCTCTAAAATGAAGATTTCCGGCCACTTTTTGTCCCCATTTTTCACTTCATTTCACTCAACATATCCGCGACATTTTCATGCGCTCCAAAGTATGTGACCCTGCGCTTCATGTTGAAGTATGTGACTGTGGTAGAGTGTTGGTTACATATGAGTGTAATGGAGATGGGTCAGATCGTATGTTGCAAGATTGATGTGTGTCAGTGGGAGGGAGGATGACATTGTTTGTCAATTAGCCTTCAAAGATAGCAAATATACAAACACAGTGAAACTCCAGTATAACAGATCGCTTTTGAATTTTAAACTAGTTTGTTGTATGTAGAGCAATTTCAGTATAAAGATGTGTTAAATGCACTGTGTAGTACAGTGCATTTAATTCCTGGGGGGGGTGAAAAAACTCAGATTTGGTGTCTTTACTCTACAGTACGTAAAATTATGATATCAACTTTTTATGTTATTTTTGCGTTTACGACATGTGACAATATAGCTAATAATACAACATAATTCGTCCGTGTAATAACATGTTAAACTAAGCGAGTACCTTGTGCCAAAATTTTGATTTGTAACAATTTTAAAATTTTTAAGAATGGCATATAAATTACAATTAAAATTTTATCACATGAATACTACGCTTATTACGAAGCTTGCAGGTACAGTACCAAGTAATTTTACTGCTTTTTATAATTTCAAGTTGTTCAAATAATTCTAGGCTTCCAACTTTGGAGAGTTTGCTTTAAGAAAGGCACATAATTATTTGAACTACTTAATAGTACGCATATTATTACATTTTATGTTATTTTTACGGTATGTATCTTGGATCATGAAATGTCAATACAGCATTGACACAGTATGTATACATATTAGTTTACGGTGGAATGATTATATTAACATAAAACTCAAAAATTCAAAATGTATCCTGATATACACAGTATCATTAATCCTTCTTTTAAGTGGCATCTTGAAAAAACACACGTGTTTATAAGATTATTACCGTGATATCATAGTAATTATGCCTTTATAGTTAAAATGATAGTCGGAATTTGTCTGGATAATCACTTAAATGTATACAACAATTCTGTTTATTATTATGGTACAAACAATACAGTAAAATTGACAAAAGTTTATAATAGAAAAAGTATATCACAGTGAGATTGTACATGAATATAGGGTTATTACTTGAGTATGTGGTTATAAGATTTATATTGAGTTTAAGGAAATAACATATAATATTTTACTGAGTAAAAGGTCATGACTTTTTATACATATGCCTTTAATGACTTTCAATAAAGATTTGGTATGAACAACTGAGTAATGAACGTATTATCTAAAACACGATTGTAAAGGTATTTCAGTAGCTTTGAGTTGACTATAATGTATCTTATCGTATAAAAAGATCGACAGAAAGCTACTATTACACATAACATACAAATACTGTAAATTTGGCAACATATCATGATAATATATTTGACAAAAAGCTACTATAACATATGAATAATTTAAACTTAACATCATATAATAATAATAAATACTTGACAGAAGACTGGTTGATTATAAACCAACTTTACAATGTATTACTATACCACAATGCATAATATATTACAGTATAAACAAGTTATGACACTCTTGGAGGATTGGGGTCCCCTCCACATAGTTTAGTCTCATGTGTCGTTGATTGTGTTAACAGTAACACAAACAGAGCAAGGGCAGCTGCAGCCAGCAATATAGCACCACATAGAGAAAAACCTGGCAGGAATGGTACTGAAATGGCAAAATTATATTAACATTAAATTGGAAAAAGCGTATTTTACAAATTATTTTTACATTTTAATACCTAAAACTAAAAGAAAACAGAATTTACAAACTTATTATAATATTTCGTCTAAAAAGTTCTAAGCCACTAACTCCAAAAGTTTGTTTTGAAAGAGGGCTCAGAATTACTTGAACATCTTAATGTTTTTTTTATATGTACTTAAAGCTTGTAAATAGAATATTAAAATATTTGAAATCATTTTAAAAGCTTTAAAATCAACTTACTGCTCCCCCTAGTCTGCTGTTGTTCATCCAACAACTCCTGCTGCTGCTTCAAATACTTTTTCATCGACGATGCCGACGAAATACTTGATGGATTTCTATCCAACAACAACATATGGGCAGGTATCTCAATCCGATAGCTCGACCCTCGCTTCTTCTTATCAATACTGTCGCAACTCCGCGGTAATGGGTAGGCATATACGGTAGGTGGGTAGTGGCGACTCGACGCCCGACGTACTCCGATCGCCGACATTCGTCGTACTCCCGCCGTTTGGGCCGTACTCGTTGTGGGGATGGTGGGGGAGTGAGATACCGTGTTGGGCGTGGTCGAGGAGCCGGGCGCTGACAATTTCCGGACTAGGAATGTTTTGGCCGTCTGGCTCTCTAAATCCGGTCGGTCAAGCATTTTCAAACTGAAATTGAATTTTCAGGTTAAAAACATGATAATATGAGGGATTAAGGTGCATTACTAACACGTGGTGATTATGATAAGAGGAAGGTACTTATGATAAGAGATTAATTGATTTTATATGTTATGTTTCCTTACAAGGACAGGCTTGTTATGGTCAACAAGCGACTCAACAAGGGGCTTTAGCCTAGTCGACTAGAGATAGAAGTAACTCATAAAAGAAAAACTTATGCAAAACTTTAATTTTTCCGTATAAAAAACAAAATTTAATAGTTCATCACTATGATATAAGCATAAAAATTAAATAAATATTTAAAAGATTAGTAAAACGTACAAATTATTATGAGAATAAAGTGAAAAAGCCTGAAAAGTAAATATTGTAACACGGAAAGTCTTTAAAATGCTAAAATATTACAACTTTAAAAGCAGGTATAACGTAATTCTACATTTTGTTTTAAAAGTCGTTATAAAAACTATTTTTTTGATAAATGTTAACAAAACATAAAAAAATTTAAATTTTTAAATTTTTTATCATTCTCTCATTCCCAAATAATAAATTTAAAAAAATGAAACTCTCTGTAGATGTTTGGTACATTTTTTTCTAAAAATATTAACAAACTAATCAAAAACTTTCAGCTTTCTCAGGCAACTCGGTTGCTTAATGTTAGACTATACAGACTTTCAACGGCCCAAAGACTTGAGGAGCACCTCATCATGACTCTGTGGCTCAAGAAACAAGATTACCTGGACAAGCCCAATTAAAAAACAGATACCGTACTCTCTCTAAATAAGCAACCCGAAAAGATCGATATTTTGTGTTTACTATAAGGGGTGCTGTTTTCACAGAGACACTTTGTAGTGCAAATTGACTTGGCAGGGCCAAATTTCATATTTCCTATAAGGAGAGTTGCTTATACAAATGGTACACTATATAAAGAAACCACTGTTCAATGGATTGCTCTGACAGCCTTTTATCTCCCCTCACATCTAAACTTTTAAAATTTCTAAATCAACATTAGTCCGCACAGCACTCACTGACTGTAATAACCCATGACAAGCTATTATACTTAAAAATATAAATTTTAAGACAAAAGATTTATGGCCTAAGTGTGTTCACGTCGCTTATTATCTTAATTATATTCAACAAGCCTCGTCGTTGGTACGAGAATAGTACTATGAACATTAATCTAGACTTAGTATCATTCGTTCTCAAGTACAGTTTTTTTAGGTATGTATAGTATGTAAACATATCTATGTTTAGGTGTTAAACATAGGTGTTCAGTATTGAAACATACCTAAAAAAAGTGTACTTGAAAACATAATTACATCTCGATTACTTTACAATTATAAGCTCAAACTGTTTTGCTGTAGCTAAAAAATATTTGATTTTTGTATTTTTAAAATTATTAATTTGTTCAAATTATCCTGTGCTCCTTAACCTCAAAAAGTTACCTTCAAAAGAAGCCCAGAATTAATTGAACAACCCAATACAAACAAAAAATCTTTTAAAAAAAGCATGTCAAGAAAGTTCTTTAATCTCCAATGTCTAATCCCAAAAACCTCGACACAACAAAACAGACAAAGTAAAATGTAATTCCGAACGTTTCCAGAACTAACAACGTTAAAGAATGGCACGTGGATATTCGGAAGCCATGTAACGTATTTAATGCCTTTGACACCAAATGACAGACAGAAATTACGCGGAAAGTAGGTGTCAAAACAAGTTTGATGAGCATTGCCAAGTTCATAATGTGCAAATTTAGTTCTTGTTTTAGTGCAAAGCTTTTTAGGTTGAATTTTGCAAATTTTGGGTTTTAAAAAGAAATTTTTGCACTTTTTTCAATAAAAACTAACACTTTAGGTATCAGTGGTGTATAAAACATCATAATGTAATGTTACTTTTAATGCCTTACATGATACTATAAAAATTAAAAAAATAAAGTTTTTAAGCTTCAAGAACAAGCTTTATACAAAAAAATTAAAAAATATATTATTAAGTTGTTCAATTAATTCTGTGCTTTCTAATCCCAAAAATTTGACTTCAAAAGAAGCTCAGAATTATTTGAACAACCTAATATTATAGTTTGACATTGTTTGTATTGAAAAGTACAAATAATTTCCTTGTTAACTAATCGGCTAATTTTGTATTACAACGCATGCCATTTACTATGTACATGTTATAGTAATTGTATTTCAATTCACTAACCGTAAAATTGTGTTTTAAATTTATAGTAAATTTTCTTATGAAGTTGTCCAAATATAAATGAGCATTTCGACGCAGTCAACTTTGATTTTTAAAAATATCCATAGTTGGACGATTTGATAGATATATATCACTAATAGTCTTATATTACATAAATTCTAAAATAGAAAAACAAGATAAACTTAAAAGCTCAAGAACAATACAGAAGGCTTTAGTAAGAAAACATAAATCTTATTACAATTTTATACAGTATCAAACAATCCACTACTACCAATTTCGTATTCCAACTACATATCAATTAACCAAACTTTAAATACTCGACTTGTTTATAACCGAATTGTATATAATTAAAGCAATATCACGCATGTTTACTTTAACTGCATATCACGTAATCATAATAAAGGCCTTACTACCAGTTACGAACCTAAATACCAACAAACCTTTGGTCCAAGAGAGTTTCTTTTCTTGGAAAATAAAAAAGTAAGTTGCTAACGACCAAAGATGTGTTACTTCATAAGAAAACGTATATGGAATTCATTAAATAAAGTGATTATTGAAGTTATAATAACATATTGAGGTAGTTAGAAATAACCACAATTTTAAAGTGAGACGTTAGGGTAATATAAAGATACATTATTGAATGTTGTGTACGGTAACTTATTGTACATATGTATAAATATATTATAGTAAAATAAAATAACCAAAAAGTTGACCAAACGCCTCATCTTCTTCTTCTTCTTATTCTTCTTTTTTCTTCTTCTTCTTCTTCCCCCCTTTTCAAGACAACCTTTAGCTGTTGAACTCCCTTGTTCTATATTCATAACCTAGCAAATAATTTTTACCGTGCTTACCATGCATCTTACTAATTTTTTTCTCAATAAAAACATCTTCATTTGCTAGACTATGTAGTAAGTATAATATATTACTCAGAACATAGAGAGATTAACCAAATGAGTTTCAGCGTACTGTGGTTAGGAAGTGGCTGATTAATTAAAGCTAAGACTTTTATCTGACTAAGATGCGTATTATCTCTATGTGGGTGTGTTTGGCAACGTTTTTGTAGGCAACATGGTATAAAAAATATATATTGTACAATTAAAGTAATGTTACTTACAGGTACTACCCTTTAGTATGGGTAATAGAAAGATTGCCCAAAAGTATGAGTAGTACATATACTACACAAGAATATGGCCTCCTCGCTTTATATGTAGTACAAACTAAAAAGTCCAACAATAACGTATAAAATTGAGGCCCTACCTTATCAGTTTATCCTTCACCCCCCCCCCTCCTCACTCTTCTCAAAAAATGAAATTCATCGCGACGCCCTTACATTTAGTTATTAAAAAATGAAGCCAAATGAAGGGTTTGTGACTCAGATGCATAGTAAGATTACAATTTTGGTAATCCAAGTCATTTTAAACAATGAATGTCTAAAAATATTGTAATTGCATTATGTTATTACATCTATTTTGCAATAACATAACATTATAAGAAAACTCAGTCGGATGTGGCAAAATGGTAAGTGCTATGTGGGTTCTATAGCAAATAGTTGTTTGGCTTACACAGGCTTCTAACTTATGCTTAAAGGCTTGAGAAGCATCTCATCACGGCTTGGCAGCTAAAGAAAGAAGATCACCTGGATAGGGCCTAAATGGGAACAGCTACAATTAATTACTCTGACGGTCTTCATCAAACCTTTATCATCTCTCTCATGTCTCAATCTATACATATCTTGCGTTGAAAAACAAGAAATAAATAGTTTTTTTCGTAAATTAGGTGCCGACATAAAGAACCCGCCATATTTTATCTGTAATTTTTTGTAAAAAGTGGCGAGTTCTTTATGTCGGCACCGAAAAGTTTAATAAAAGTAAACAAAAAGACTATAAATACGACAAAAGCCTTACCAAATGTATGGCTTTTATTGTATTTTCTTGTAAAAGAACACTGTAAAGTCAAAAACTTAAAAATCTTGTTCATTTTGTATAAGTTTTCGGGGCTAATGTAGTTCAGCCCCCCACGATACTTCAACCCCCCAGTGTTTAGAACAGCCCCCCAAACGGGTAGCTGGCCTAAACTGTCCTATGCAACGTCCAAAAGGTCGAATTCTGACGAAGTGGCTGGAATCGGTGGCAGGGTCGCGCGGCCGGACCTATTATAGGAGGCGGAACGCGACCTGCGTTGCATGGCGGGGCAGAATGAAGGTTTTGGCAAAATCAACCGGCTTTTATAGGTTTCGCATGCGTGAGAAATTGAAAGTTCACAAAAAGTGAAATTTGCATGAATTACAACTAAAAAGTGCACTTTTAATTTTATTTTCTATTTACAACAACCACCCAACTGTTAACATCAGCCCCCAACTGTTAACATCAACCCCCCCCCCAACTGTTAACATCAGCCCCCAACTGTTAACATCAACCCCCCCCAACTGTTAACATCAGCCCCCCCCAACTGTTAACATTAGCCCCCCCCAACTGTTAACATCAGCCCCCCCCCCAACTGTTAACATCAGCCCCCCCCAACTGTTAACATCAGCCCCCCCCAACTGTTAACATCAGCCCCCCAACTGTTAACATCAGCCCCCCCCAACTGTTAACATCTGCCCCCCCCCCAACTGTTAACATCAGCCCCCCCCCCAACTGTTAACATCAGCCCCCCCCAAAATAAAAACAACCCGGCAGTAACAACTTCAAAACACAAAATAATTTATTTTCATTATGGGGAGCTAAAGTATCTATAATGGTTGGGGGGCTATACTTCACAAAGCGGGGGGCTGATCTACATAAGCGCCAAGTTT